GTGCCATGGGCAGGGTACCTGAGGGACAGCCAGCAGAGGGAAGGTTGGAATTTAGGGACACAGGGACACCTGTGGAGAAAGCAAAGGGCTTGTGAGGCAGAGAGGATCTGGGGTATTGCGGAGGAGGAACTATAAAAATCAGGGATTACTGTGGCGTGGGTGGATGTGGGGATGCAGAGCCATGGAGGGGCAGGGACACAGAGATCTCCAACTGCCCTGCACATGATTTCCTCCTTCTGCAGGGAGAGGCAGGAAGAGGAGGTGAAGGAAATCTTGAATAGGTGTCCCCTTTCTCTTCCCTCTTCATTGCAGCCATGGGACAATTAAGTATTTTGTTTCTGGAGAAATTCAACTTCCACTTCCCTACCAGCTTTAAGCATTTTCTTAAAATTCTGTTATCTGTTCCTGGCAGTAAGTTTCTAGCACTGGGTACCTGTGCAGAAATATTTTTATGTGATGCCCTTATTTTTGCCCTGAGGCCTGTAAGTTCCTATCCTAGTCCTAGTAAAAGTGCTAATAAAAAGGAAGGTTGCTAAACCTCTAAATAAACTTTTTTCTTTCTGTCATTGGTGAGTGACAAAATAATTTCTAAGTTATAATAAGTTCTTTTTCACTGTTAATGCCCAGTTGTAAATTCCACTGGGAATAGACAGGTATTTGGAGATGTGGATAATAAACTGCTCAACAGATCTCTCTGGATCAAAGCCAGCTATGCAGTGGCAGCTTACTGCTATCCCACTGTAATTTTTTTTAATAGTTTCAAAATAAAAATATATCAAAGCATGAGAAATCCTGAGGCTGTGATTGCCAAGGCATCCCACAGCGTGAGAAGCCAGCACCACTAGCACACAGCAGCCACAGAATTTGGGGAGCACCCACCAGAGGAGACCTGGGGAGGTCTGTGGATGCTCTGAACTCACTCCCAGGTGCCTGAGGGTCCCCTCCTCTGCTGGGGGATCTGCATCTCCTCAGCAACCTCTCCTCAAACAGCCAAGAAAGTGACAAATGCATTTCTGTTACCCACTGCTGGTGGCTGAGGCACGAACTGTTCAGCCTTTATTTCTTTTCTAACAGAGGATGGAGGCAAAATTTTGCTTTATGCTGCCATCTGCTGTGGGCTTCATATGATTATGAGCATTTCAAATTTGTTTCTGATAAAGAGTAAAGGTGACCAAATAAATGGCACATGGAGTTGTATGAAAAGGATCTAAAACTCCCCTCCTCTTGATCCTCTATGTAAAATGTCCTTCAAACAGTGGGAAACCTGTAGAAAGGAATTACGATTTACTGGTGATTTTAAGGGCAAATTATTTCCTCTAAGTGCTTCATGCTGTGGTGTTTCAAGGCATTCTTGTTCTTTTCTCTTCCCTTCTCATTCATCCCTCCCTCCCTGCCGTCCCCCTCTCACCTGAGAGCTCCAGGGGGAGGAATTTATGGCTGGCAGGCTCAGAGCAGAGCTCTGACGTGGGTGCCTGAGGCAAGGCCAGGCTCCTGTCTCAGCTGCCAGCCCTGGGCCTGCATTTACCTTCAGTAAATACGCTCCAGCATTAGGAGGTGGGAAAAAATAATCTTTTTTCCTTCTGCTCATTGCATTTTACAGTTGCATTGCTCAGAGTGGCAGCTATCAAAGCTCTCTTCAGGGAAATGAGTTGGTGATGGAGACAGTTTTATTTTCATCAGGAAAAACTGGTCTGGTCATATTTTTGACAACTCATTAGACTGGTGTGGTTTTTATCTCTCCCTTGCCAAAAAAGGTGCAAACTATTCAAAAACATACTCATATACCTGGTGTTGATGCTGTGGCCACAACCTGCTGTCCTCTACTGGGGCTGGAGCTCCACCAGCAAGAAAACGTGTGACAAAAGCAACTAAACAAACTTGGAAGCCTCTGCTCACGTTAAACACATCAAAAGAGAGATTAGAGGCAATGATCAAGTGTGCTCTTTCAGGCCAGATAAGAAACACTTCCTTGTACCTTCCCTAAAGTCAAACACAGCAGGTAAGCTCCTTTCTTACTGTGCTTCATGTAATCTGGGGCTCTTGGTGCCCACAATGCTGATACTGCTTCTCACAGGGCTTTTTGTTGGAGGAAATAAATTTGGCCTGTGGATCTTAAACCAATGCTACACTCACAGAGATGCTGGAGTGTGTGCAGCTTTCAGGGCTCAAACGAGGCTGGAACCAGAACCAGCAGGATGCACAGTGCAACACTTAGAATGAAAGCTTTCAACCTGCTTTGTTTGGCTATTGGAGACAATCTAAAAAGTGAAGAGCCAGATCTATTTTTTTTTTTAAGCCTAATGTACAGTTCTTACATTTCTTACTTGAATCTTGTCCTAAGAGCAGAGCTGGGCAGATCCCCACCTCTGTGCTGGGATGCACCTGGTGCAGGATGTGTTAAAAGCATGTCAAAAGCAAGCTAAATGCATGTCACCTCTCAGAAGGCACTTTGGCTTCCTCAGACATCAATCTTAGGCTCTTGTTTTCATGCTTATCTCTGCCTCTTTACAGAAATTTCCTGCTTATTTGTACATCACAAGTGGTGAAAAAAAATGAAAAAGATAAAGAAATTTGGCTTGGCCAAAGGAGAGTTCATCCATGTGATATTTCTCAGAATGTCTGGGAAAACTGCATATTGAAAAAAAGTCACTTGTGGTTCATCCAAACTTAACAGCTTTGTCTCAGTTTCCTGACTAAATTGTCATGGTGACAGGAACAGATGATGAATGGCAAAAGAATTTTTCTTCACATGCTGGGCATTCCTTGCAAAGTCCAGCATGTGAATAACATTGGATTAATTTCCTGACAGTCTGGGCCATGTTTCTGCAAGGCTGTGCCTACAAGCAGGTTGTATTTCTAAGGGACACTGGGGTGTAATTTCACCGTGTCGCACCAGTGATCTGAGTTCACAAACCAGAGGCTTTTTCATCAGCATCTTTAATAATGTGGCAAATACACACTCCCCTAATAAAACACTCCCAAGGTGTTTACCATGAAACCCCTAATCAGGATTACTTAAACCAGAGCTGCCTTCAGCCCCTCCTGCTTTGGCAGCCCTCTGTACCTGCACATGCGGTGTTGAGAATTATTTTTGTTGAATAAAGAGAAGAAATCCCAAGGAAAAGGAAAGGTTTGGTAACCTGCCTTAAAAACTCTTTGGAAAGTTACTCTTCTGTGCACCAGTTTATTCCAGCTGTAATACTGATAACCAGTTCATCAGTCCCACATCTCTGAATAAAACACAATGCCCGTGTCTGTACAAAACACCTCCCACAGCAAATGGCCTAAACCCCCAGGTATATTCACTTAATCTAAACAAATATGTTAATATTGTGATTATTTTAAAGCCTCTGGCATGAATGTTAATGGCATTTGAAGGGGGAAAAAAATCCAGCTGTAGGGAGTGACTTTTTTATCTGGCAAGGGGGTTGGAGCTGGATGACACAAGGTCCCTTACAAACCAAACCATTCCATGATTCTGTGATTCTATATCCTGCCTGTGCATTATTAAGACAGCACAGCAAGGGGGTCTAACAGAAATCAGAAGGAGGATTGAAGGAAGATTTGCAGGCTCATTGGGCTGGGTCTACCCATAAGTGACTGTCATCAATCTGGCTTCTGGTTGGGAAGATTTCAGTAGCTTTCCACATTTTACACTGGATTTCTCTTTAATACAAAAGCAGACCACAATGGACACTTATCATACAGTCTTTTTATAGAAACAGAAGAGCTCAAAAGGAATTTTCAGTGTTCCTTTCAGAAACATGAAATAACAACACGGTCAGCTCCAAGAGCAGCACCCTCATCTCCAGACTGCTGATAATATTAAACTCTCAGCCTCACTGGGCTGTGAAAATGTCATGATAACAAGCACTGAACATTAAAACTCTTCTGAAAGTGTCTCAGTTACACGAGGGTTCAACATACTTTGTGGTAGCTCTGTCATGCTTCTGTCAGTTGAAGTTAATTCCAGCTTTGCAATAATGATTCTCCTCTTTTTTTAACAACATGCAGGTTTGGGAAGTGCTGTTTCCATTGCACTGCAGTTTCTTCAGTCAGGGTGAAAGGTTTTGGTGCAGTGCCCTGTGATATCAAGGTTTGTATCCACAGGACAAAGTGGAGGTTGACAATTCATGTGGGTTTGCAGTTTTCTCTCAAATTTCACCTAACACATTGCAGCAAAAATTAAGTTCTGATTCTGCCGTCGCTTTCTTGCAGCAGTGGTGATGCAAATACTGATTTAGAAGCACACAGATTGCATCCAAAACCACATCTCAAGCAGATCACCAGCACCTGATCAGATGATAAGATCAATTTTGGCTGGTATTGGAAAGCTCTGACAAGATTATCCATTATTCAGCCCACACCATCCCCGGCGATCAATTCTAAAATTGACAACTTTCACCCCAGGATTTTTACAAAGGGCAAGTGTCAAACAATCAGGCACTTCCCAGCCTAAAAATAGCTGAGATTGTTGTATTAAATGGAAATCAGGAAACCACAGCAGCATTTCAGATATTTTGTCCTTTGCCTGGCTGGCATCAGTCCATCCACACACTGAGGTCACTAAGAGACACAAAGTGTGTGGGATCTGTATCGTCCCATTAGCAGAGGAAAGGAGGGAAAGCAGGGCATAAAGAAGCTCCTCTTCCATTTAATTTCAGTAATTTCAGAATTTTCCAGTCAAGTTACAACCTGTTGCTCATTTCAGAGTTATTTACTGCAGTAAAACACTTAAGAATTTGAGTTTTAGGAACTTCGTTCACAGTGACATGATAACATATTGGAATTCAGAGATTATTTTTTTTAAGAGTTGAACATTTGTGTCAAAAGTGCCAACCTTCTGCTTCCTGCTTGTTTTTGGAGTCAAAGGAAGCTGCTGCTGCCTGTGCAACAGAGCATGGACCTCTCATGGATCTATATGGATACTTTCAGGAAAAAAAGTATTCTTGTCTGGTTCTTGGAAGGTAAGTACTAAAACAACAGTGAGTAACCTGATCTAAAGTTGCTCTGAGTCTTTTTCTGCAAAACTTTATTGTGACAGCATTCAGGATTATCAGTCTTAGTTTTTTTCTGTGTGTGAAATTTACTGTGACTGCCAGTAGACACACACACTGATCATCATCCATCTGCTTCTTCCACCCAAAACAGGCTGAATGTGCAACAGTTTGCATCAAGTGCAGTTGCCAGTAACAAAAAGAAATGGTAAAAGGTGCTCTGTGAAGGTCCAGAGCTCAGAGCAGGTGACCACAAGAATGGGTTGGGTCCTTCTGCAGGGCTGGAGTGTGATGTGGCTTTTCAGGAGCCCAGAGCACGGCCACTCTCTTCAGGTCTGCAGTTCTTCTCTCTGGGGGAAAAAAAACCATGAGTGAATCTGTTGCAAATGCTGGTGTTGCCACATGTTGAACTCTGAAAGGGTTTTCCCACTGCACTCAGGTCAGCAAGGGAACTGAGGGGCTGCTGGAGCCTGTCCTGCCAGCGGGATCACAGAAACATGGAGCAGCTTGGGTTGGAAGGGACCTTAAAGACCATCTCATTCCAACCCCCCTGCCATGGGCAGGGACACCTTCCACTATCCCAGGTTGCTCCAAGCCCTGTCCAGCCTGGCTTTGGACACTTCCAGGGATCCAGGGGCAGCCACAGCTTCTCTGGGTACCCTGTGCCAGGGCCTGCCCACCCTCACAGGAAAGAATTTATTCCTAACATCTAATTTAAATCTACTCTCTCTTGGTTTGAAGCCATTCCCCCTTGTCCTGTCACTCCAGGCCCTTGTCAATAGTCTCTCTCCATTTTTCCTGCAGGCTCCCTCAGGTACTGGAAGGTCACTCCAAAGCTTCTCTGCTCCAGTTTGATCTGGGCTATGCCCCAGTACAGCTCTGCCATTCCCTTGGCCCCACTTCCACAGGCACACTAGTTCTACTTCCTTTAGGTTTGCTTCAGTCCATTAAAAAGTGTCTATGTTTCCCTGCTGTACCTGAAAATCCTTTCTAAGGGGATAAACTGAGAAATTAATGATTACATCTGAAGGATGTCCCTCTGAAAAATTAAAGTATTTTAGCATTTGGCTTAACAAAGCTTTTGCTGTACATTTTTTCCCCCTTGACCACTTTATAATTATTTACTAATCATATTATAACATTAATATTAAATATTATAATATTATTTACTTTTATAATGGAGATCTGTGTTTTCATGTGATATGAGCTCTCCAACTGAAATGTTTGTGTATATACATATATATATATATATGCAAATAAATCACAATGATATATTCAGGGGAAAGAAAATTACAGGTCTTGAAGATTCAGAAATATCCTGTTTTCATGTTTTCTTTGAGTGACAGAGAGGCTTGTGATAGCATGGTGACAGGGGTGGTTTCAGCACGTGCCTGCATTGCTGGTGCTGGAATGGCATCGTTGCTGTCCATGCAATGTCATTCCAGCAAGCTGGGTGTTGGAACAGCAGCTCTGTCTGCGAGGGCAAGGCTGGAGCAGAATGGGGGCACGCTCTGGGGCTTAGGGTTGGCTTTGCCACAAAGACAGGAAATCACAATCAAAAGCCAATGCACTGTTCTCTACCTGTGCCTGCATGTCCAGAATCCTCCCAGGGCCCTGCAGGAAGGTTCACTTGCCTTGCACTTGTCCTGTCTAGTGCCACTTGCAGTGCCTTAGTGCACCTGGCACCACCTGAGCCTTCACAGGGCACCTGAGCCATGCTCATGGGGATGGATGCTGGATGCAACCCAGGGCGAGCTGCAGATCCTTGCCTTCTGCAGCAACACCTGTGAGCCAGGCAGGACAGGCTGAGATCTCTGAAATGGCTCTGGATGACGCTGCTTAGGCAATGGAGCCCAGCCTGGGAGTCCCACCTGCAGCACAGCACCTGTCTGTGCTCCACTGACTGAACCAGCACCTCTCTGGCAGCACAGGAGAGGTGCTGACAGCAGCAGAGCTGGTCTGCTGAGACTGGGCCACCCCTGGGTCAGGTGAAGGTGGCTGCAGTGTCCCCTCATTTCCCTTCTCTGCTCTCCTCTCTTTCTAGCCAACACTGTGTTCTCCCTGCAATTTCTTTGGCCCACTCAGCTTCCACTCCCCAGGCTTCTCTGTAGCAGCCTCACGGCTTCAAATCAGCTCACAGAATCCTAGAATGTTAAGGGTTGGAAGGCACCTCTAAAATCAGCTCATCCCAGCCTCTCCTGCCATGGGCAGGGACATTTCCCACTATCCCAGGCTTCTCCAGGCCTTATCCAACCTGGCCTTCAACACTGCCAGGGATCCAGGGGCATCCACAAACCTCCCTGGGCAACCTGTGCCAGGGCCTCACCACCCTCACAGTAAAGAATTCCTTCCTGTCTAACCTAAATTTCCCCTCTTTCAGTTTGTACCCATCGCTCCTTGTCCTGTCACTACAGTTCCTGACAGAGCCCTTCTCCAGCTTCCCTGTAGCCTCCTCAGACTCTGGAAGGTTCTCTGAGGTCTCCACAGAACCTTCTCTTCTTCAGGCTGAACAGCCACAACTGTCCTATCATGTCCTTGTGGAGGTGCTCCAGTCCTCTCAGCAACTTTGTGTCATTTCTCTGGACTTCATCCAACAGTTCCACATCCTTCCCATATTGGGGGCACCAGAACTGAACACAGGACAGTCCCCTCTGATCTCTTTCCTTGACCCCCATCTCCTGACTCAGCCCTTCTGCACCTCCCCGCTCTGCCCGAGGGCCAGTCCCCATCCCCAAACTCCCCCTGCAACTCCACACAACACAGACAAATGTGGGCTACACCCCATGTGGCACAGGAGGAGCAAAGTGACAACCAGAGGTGGAGGAACAGGGCAAAGCCAGACCTCCATCTGCTCATGGATCCAGTCCAGGAAGGAAGTGGTTCTGCTGTAGACACCCGGCTTGTTCTTCTCTGCACAGCCCACTCCAAAGCTGGTGGTGCCCACCAGCTTCCAGATACTCATATCTTCACATGCCAAAGGCCCCCCACTGTCTCCCTGGGGGAAAAAGAATTAAAACAAATGTCAGTGTCCCAGAAAAGCATGGAAATGTCTATCTGGGGAGGAAGGGGGAGAGACATAGTCCAGTAATTCAAAATCTCTTGTTTCTGCTCTGTTCTGGGTCCTGGGAAAAGCACATTACAGCAGGACTTGGAGACTTTTGAGACATGTATGAGACACCAAGCTCACATCTCACCTCCTTCCCTGCCTGCTCCTGCCTGCTTTTCCAGCCCTTCCCAGACACTTTGCTACACAGATTCAACTCAATGCACCCTTATTTAAGTACTGAGAACTCCCCATTTCTTTTTTTGCTGGGGCAGTTTCCTGCCCCACGAGAATCAGAGCCAGCACAACTGGAAGAAAGGGAATTTGGAACAAGCCTGTCCCACTGGAGAGCAGGGCTCCTGTCACATGGAGCTGTGTGCTGAGCACGCTGCCTTTGGGCAGGTCTCCCAGGAAAAGCTGGTGCCAAGTGCCCTTTTGGGGTGGCTGTGTGCAAAAAGGGGATGAAATGCAGATCCAGGCACCCACTTCCTTTGTGCTTTTTTTTGTCCCAGGTGTGACTGGAATGGAGCAAATCTGGAAACATGAAGTTCACAGACTCACAGAGAGGTTTGGGTAGGAAGGGACATTGAAGTCTGTGTAGGTCCAAGCCCCCTGCTTGGAACAGGGACACCTTCCAGCAGGAATTCCTCTCCAGCTCAATCTGGCTGCTTTTCACCACGGGCTTTCTGCACCTTGCAGGTCTCTGGAGCTGCTCACAGGGCAGGGAGGTGCAATTCAGTGCAGTGCAGAGGTCACAGCCAAGGCAGAGAAAGGATGGCACCCTGCTGCAGCACATGCAGCAAAATATGTCTTAAGCAAATCTGGCATCAGAAGTATCCAGATAAGGTCCAGAGAAGAAGTATAAAAAGGAAATTGTAGCGTGTGAATGCACGTGGTCAGTGATTGATAATCGTGATAAGCAGAATAAATGGCACAAACCCAAATGTTTGCCCAAGAAAAGCCTGGGAGTGCCTTGTGATAACTTATCACTCATATTTTTCCATTTCCAATGAGCACAGTTGCAGTTTGGAAACTTCCATACCTGGCAGGTGTCCACCCCTCCCTTTAGGAAACCAGCACAAAGCATTGAAGAAGTTATGATCCCACCATAGACATCCCTGTGATTGCAAATTGCATTGGAAATCAGAGGAACACCTGCATAATTCATGGTGTCAGATGTGTCACCTGTTAAAAAACAGAAAAAAACCAGAAAAAACCTTCCTGTCCTCGAAAATAATCTCCATTTATAAACAGAGGATGTTTTATATACAAAGAATTGGCAAGGAAGGATGAAAGAAATGTGGTTAAATGACAAGAAAAAAGTAAGGCAACTTGGTGTCTCATCACTTACAGAACACAGCAATTATCCACTCTGTAGAGATGTGGATTATCACAGTGTATAAAATAACTATAAAATAACAATAAAATAACAATTAAACATGGACTTTGTGCATTTCCACTTCAAAATAGACAATTAATTACACTAATGAACTAAAAAAACTTGTTGAACATTGTGTTCAAGACTAGTGCCAAAACTTGTTCTGAATTTATCACCTGTTCTGTTAGTCAACAAATCATCTGCAAACATCTGATTTACTTTATAAATATTTATTTTATTTCATTCAGAGCCTGAACGGATCCTTTCCACAAAGGGAAGTATTTGCACACTGCCTATTGTCAATTTAAGGCTGGTTGTTTTTTTTTTTAATGTGGCAAACCTTGCTTTCATTTTCCCCCCACCTTTGGCTGTTATCTGTGGGTCAGGTAATGTTCTGTTCTTGTTCTCTGAACAACGGGAACACGTTCAGTGACATGAATGAAGAATGATAAAAAACAATTGCCTGATAATTCACCCATTTTCAGGTGAAGGTGGTTCAGTTTATATTATTGATTAGCATGACCCATGAGTCATGGTAAAAAAAAAAAAAATCCCTTTTCTTTTTGATGTTTTATCCAATTTCTACATCACCCAACCTGCATTAAAATACACATATGCTTTCTCAGAAAAAAAGGAACGTTTAATTCTTGCATTCATGCTGTGCTTCCTATTCTTGGAGTTCTAAAGGCCACAGCCTGTTTCACTTAGAACACTGGGGACATTTTATATGTGCAATTTTCAACTGTTTCAGAGAATACCCATCCATTCCTTGTGGTAAGAGTTTGCACAGCGCTTTTGCAGTTCAGTTTGTGCATAAAATTTAGTAATATGTCTTTCCTCCCCCTCCAGATAATCCAGAAAATTTAGTGTTAAACAGTGCTCCAACCAAATCTTGTATTTACTGTATATGAATGCATGTAGCGAAATTATCAGCAGACAATTTAAAATACCTCCTTCCACAGTTGCTCCCCATCCTGATACCCAACACATTTTCCCTGCTGGGAAATGTTCACCAAAATTGGGCAGACAGATCGGTTCAGTGTGACCTATTGAAAAAAAAAAAAAAAAAAAAGAAGAAAAAAAAAAAGAGGGAGAGAGAAGAGAATCAAAATTTAGCAAAAAAGTTTATATGTCTCAGAAAAACTTGAAGATTTGGTTTGTAGTGAACTTGTGATGAACACCACCCACTCCCCACATAAATAGCCTGGCAGTTTTCTGCAGGTTTTTTGTCTTGTGGGCAACATTGAGGGTTTGAGACAACACTCCCAGCAGCCCAAATGAGTTTTGGGTAAGAAGAAGCACAAGGAGGTGTCAGCAGGTCAATACATTGAAGAATGAGCAAACTAGAAATACAGCTGAAGGGAAGATCAGAGTCCCCAGGGCTGCTGGGGTGAGACAAGGAGCTGGGTGTGCACATCCCTGAGAGGGCAAAAAGATTCTTGGGAGGGTTCTTTGCCTCCCACCCATCAGCTCACAGAGTTTTGGTGCCTCTGTGCTCTGGGACATGGAATTTCATGCAATAAAACCAGTGCTTGATGCTTGCAGGGACAAATGGGTGCTGAGAAAAGGGAGGGAAAATAGAGAATATAACTGGGCAGCCCCCAGTGGTTCTGTTCCCCACAGTGCAGCGATCCCAGCTCAAAGCATCAGCCCCCAGCATGGAACACAGTGGGATCGTGCTCAGGTGCAGAGCCACTGCTGCTCCTTACAGCTTCCCAGAGCTATTCAAGGGCAGAAGAGAGACAAACAGAACGAAATCAAGCTTAATTTTCATTAATGGTGAAATTTTAAACCATTACAAGAGAGTTGATTTAGAAAGCAGCTGCCTAGATGTGTCAAAGAGCACCAGCTCCCCTTTGCAGTCAGCTCACAGAGATCAGGAGGTATTGGCAGGTGAGCATTTCAATTCATACAATATTATTACATATTATTTCAACTCATTGTATCAGCTGCAGGTAGCATCCTATCAAGAAAATAAAAGTAATTTTCATTTAAATCATCATTATATTTGAATTTCCTTCTCTTTGAAATTCAAGCTTGATTTTCAGCTTTGGACACTTCTGGGTCCCCAAGTACTCACAGAAAGGACATGATAAAAATCTCTTTGACCTCCAAGCTGAATGAGGCAGGGTGTTTATTTTAGATAGGAAGAATATTTAGAAAGAATAAAGTTAATGTTTGCCTATTAATAAATGCCTGCAGTAAATCAATAGCAGAGTGGACTGGGAACATTTTGCAGCACGTTGCTGCTGTCCATGCCTGGAGAGGGAGTACAGAGGAGGTGCTCACACTGAGGCTGGGGGGTTCCTGCTGGTTTTGTGTGGACTGAGGGGTTTTAGCTGGGAATGTGAGAAAGTGAAAGCTCACAGAGATAAATTACCATTGAGAGCAAGGGGTGCTGCCAGTTTCATCAGTGCTATGTCATTCCCCATAGTCTTGGGTTTATAATTCCGATGGTAAATGATTTTTTCCACCGAATGTGGGTGAACCTGGGTGTCCTGATGAGTCACAAATCCGACCTGAACGCTCCAGGAGCTCGGCAAGTACAGGCTGGAACAAAGAGGTAGGAGAGAGTGTCAAACCTCCAGGAAAACCCTCAGATTTCACTAATTGTCCCCTGAGCTTGTGGACCACATAAATCTCTACAGGCAAATAACACCAGTCTGCTGTGCTGGCTTACCTCTCTATCAATCATGGCTATGCTTTGCATCTAATTTTAAAAATGTAAAAGGGGTGGCTAATCTTAGTAAGACACTGGGTCACTGGTATATTATCAATGCAATTATCTCTATCTTAGTACAAATATGTGAGAGTTTTTCATCAGCCCAGCTGTCTGTGCTCCTATGAGACCCCACAGCTGCTGCCTGGCACACCTGCACTCAGCCAGACCTCAGCAGTGCTTGTGGCAAGGCATTTTCAAGGAGAAGCTTCCCTTCTGCAAAGTGTTTCATGAGCTGGCACATCCTTCAGCCTCCAGCTCCTCTCCTTTTGGCCTCACTCCCCTGGGAACAGACTCCAGGAACGTGGGTTGTGTTGCCAGTTCCCATCCCCATCACCCTTCAAACTCACCACACTCCACCTTGGGAGGAACAAAGTCAAGGACAAAGGTTCTAAAATGCTGAATTCCTATTTTTTATGGCAACACAGGGCTCGAAATAGGAACTAGGAGTGGGGTTTGTCTGTCCCATCTCTTCTCTCTACTGGGTATAAAAGCATCCTACAAGAACTTACTCAGAAGAAGGCATCCTTGTTGTATGTGGCTAAGAGTGGTCAGACAAATCCCATTCTAGCTGTCTAAATATCTTTGGTGAAAGTGTTCTGGAGTTTGTAAGAGCAAGAAGTGTTCCTGCACTATTAGCATCAAATAAGACTGCAAAACCACACAGTTCATTATAAATATGTTTGCAATTACACAAAGAAGAAGAGCTTAAATAACTATTTAGCATCTATTTACAGCCTGAAGACCTCTTCAGCTGCATAAAAAGGATCACTGATAGATCTTGTCAACTTGAAAAGAATCCTGTAATTTATTTTGGAGCTCCAGTGGATCAGAGAAGCCAGATACAAATTCTGTACACGCAATTTACAGAAACTGTAGGTTGGGATACCTAAAATCTAGCACTTAAATCTTGTTTTAAGATGTTTTCCCAGGGAGCTGTGAGTGGCCAGAACATTTGGAAACTGGGGCCCTGTGTTTGGATCACTTCCTAGGGAAGCTTTTATTCAATAAAGACTCATATAAAAAGAGAAAGGAACGGCCTAAATGTTATGATGCTTTTTGGGGACTACCTAAAAACAGAGGCCAGACAAAATTAACGGAATAAAAAGTGGTTATATTTATTGATATATTGATATTTATTGGGCTTTCAGGTACATTTAGGGCAGATGAAGCCCTCCCAGGGGCTACACCCAAAACTGGACGATGGGTCATGGGTTTTCACACTTTTATAAGTTTGGTCCATTTTGGGGGTGAATCTTCCAATTCCAGCTGCAGGTAATGAAGTCATTTACCCCAAGTTTCCTGCCCCCTAGTTTTGTTTACATTTCTCAGGGCCTGAGGCAGTGAGGTTGATTCCCAGGCCTGGAGAGGAATTGTGTCGTCTGACCAAAACGGGAAAGCAGCAGCTGACAAAGAATATGGAATTTAAGAGTCATACACTAAAGAATTACAGGGTGACAAACACATGAAAAATAAAATGCTAAAACCCTAAGGCACCAGTCAAGGATGGGGCAGCGTGTCCTGAGGGTGGTTTGTCAGAGCAAGCAGAGTGTCCCCGAGCAGGGGGCTTTGTGCACTCACTCATAGACGCAGTGGGCGGCCGTGAGGATCCAGCGCGGGGCGATGACGGAGCCCCCGCACAGGTGGTGGCCCTGGAACTGCAGGCTGACCTGCCAGGGCCACTGCCGGGGGGACGACGCGTTGCCCCCCACGATCCGCGGCCCGTAGCTGGCCCGGGTCCCACACGCTGCCAGGGAGAAAAGGTTACAGTCCAGAGAGGAAACACAGCCCTGGATTTTGGGTCACTTTCAGCCCCTCTTCTCCCAGCCTTGATGAGGGTGGGAGGTGTCTGCAGCTGGAGCATCCCCACCCCATCCCCATGGCCACATCCCAGAGGTTTCTCCTCCTCCCTCCATCCCTGCAGGTCACTCATGCTCTGGGGATGTGGGGTCCATGTCTGTCCCATCCCTGCAGGTCACTCATGCTCTGGGGATGTGGGGTCCATGTCTGTCCCATCCCTGCAGGTCACTCATGCTCTGGGGATGTGGGGTCCATGTCTGTCCCATCCCTGCAGGTGCAGAGCTCAGCTGAGCTGTAAAACCCCCCTGCTCTGCCCTCCTTCCTCCTCAGGGTCCCACAGAGGCAGGCTCAAGCATCTCCTCTTGCCTCGTGGTGATTTTGCTGTTGTGTTTTGACTTTCTGTATCCCAATCTGAAAACTAGGTGGCATGGAGAGGTGTGGGATGAAAATTCAGTTAAGGCAGAATTTCCCTTTTTCCTGCCAAGGTGCCAAAAACTTGGAATTACAGTGTGAGTCCATGGACTCAACACACAGTCCTTAAATATACACTTCCTACTGGGATTCTCACTGAAATCCTCCTGCTATCTGATTCTCCCAATCTGCCCTCCCAGCCTATTTTCCCTTTCTGAAATTCTTTCCAATTTTACATAAAAAATACAGTTTTTCTTTGGTGTGATGAACTGATAGTATGATATGCCCTGAGTATAGTTTCTCCCAACTCTTACCATGCAGTGGAAAAAGACAAATTAGAAAGAATTAAAAAAATTAAAATTATTAAATTACTAACATATTAAATCATTAATAAATAGTAATATGATAATTTATATAATAAAATTAAATAAGTTATATAACTATTAACTTAATATATAAATATTATTTTACATAGTAATATTAATATTGACAATATATTAAATAATATACTGTTTATATTACTTTACATAGTAATATTAATATTAATAATACATGGGTTAATATAGTAATATGAATAATATGAAATATTTATGAATGTTGGTGTTGATTATGTAATACATACTGATTTATATTTTATATTAATTTGATTTGTATTATAATTAAGACTAATATTAAAATATTAAATAATATATTAAAATAAGTTAAGTTTTAAAAATTAATAAATAAGAAAAAATTCTGCTTTTATTTTCACATTTTCTGATCCTTACCCAAACACTTCAAGATGATCACTTTACCAGAAGTGCACTCCTCCCTGAGATGAGAAGACCGTGAATCATTAGTCCAAATTCACAAACACTTTGAGGTTTTTTTCAATATTGTATCATTTTCCTGTGCACACAAATCTAAATAACTCATATATTGAAAGAGGTAGAAAGGCATGAACTCTTCCAATCTAATCTTTAACTGAAATACTGAAGTCAGGAGCTTGGCCACCATCAGGAGGCTGCAGACCATATGCTGCCCTGCTGAAGAGAGGTTCACTCTTCCACAAGGGAAAGCTCATCAGCAGCTCTGAAATCTCCTCAGATCCACTGCTCCCCTCTCACTGGAAGGTAACTAAGAAAAACCAGCATTCATCAGGAGGAATAAATGGACCATAAAGGGTTCATAAAACCCACCGGGAAACGTGTGAGGATCTGCAAACTGAAACAAACTGCTTCATAATGGAAAAAGAAGTGCCTGGTGCTTATCCATTTGCAAAAATGGCATCATGGGACAAAGAGTCATTTCAAACAGCTCATTTGAAAGCCTTTGTTGATTTTAATGGGTCTTGAATCAGACTCTTATTCATATTCCAGCAGGACTGCTGCTGAACCTCAGTCTAGCATGTGTAACACCACCAAACACTTACAAAGTACTACATGCCTGAAAAAACAGCAACAATCCCAAACCACCAATAATTCCCCTTCCACTGAGGGAGAATTCTGAATCCTGAAGCAGCTGAGGCATACCTGAGGTTGGTGGCATTGTGCAGGGATGTCACTTGGTCAGCTGAGAACCAGTGGCTGAGGGATACGAAGTGTCTTTGGAACTGTTTTTCGACTGCAGCCACGGGCAGGTAACCTGAACTCACATAACTGCAAATAAACCATAAACACAGCTTCCCCAGACAGCACCACAGCAATCTGCTTAAATAATTCACCAGTTCTGCTAATGAAAACCACAATAATCGGATTCTGACATCTGATAAAAGTAATTCTATCCTCCCCCTATGCTCCTTACCACGTGGATGTATTTTTGACATAATCCTGTGTTGAAGCCACACATGCTGAGATGCATTTAACTGGCAGAGAAAGTAAATTTTAATTGTAATATTACAATGGAGCTTTTCACTGTAAGTGGTTGGACCATTTCCTGAGGCACTAACAAGCTCATTGTCTCCTTTTTCTAGAGTTATGTTTTGTGGCAGGGAGGATGAATAATTTTTAATATCTTTGTTTAAAAATTGAGATATATTTTATCCTGAAGACAACAAGAATTTATTCAAAGAAGATTTATACTGCTAACTATGAAAGAAATCAGAATGATGTCATGGTAAGAAATAACAGAGCATCATGCTAAATCACGACTTCAAATCTTCCTCAGTTTTGTGGAAGTTTCTGAAAGAAATGGTGCTTTTTCAGGAATGGGATCAATCCATCAAGAACTGCCTTGCCATGTTCTTCTATAATTATGAGGTGGACCTTAAATCCTATCAGATGTCATGGCATGAATTGTGTATACAATTTACCTACAGGGGAAGTAAAAGAAGTGGAAAATGCTCATATGTTTTTAGTACCTCTCTGACAGGCTACTAGAGTGACAAATAGGAATTGGGCACACAGGGAAGATTTAGCCAAGCCATTATATTTAGCCATCATGCAGGATTTATAGCAGTAAAAGGTATTTGCCATGTACAACTACTCAGAAGCATTTCCCACATCATCTCGAATATCAATCGTATCACTCACAAAGGTGGACTATTAAGCCATTTTTAAGGCACAAAGAAACACGAGGTTTCATTAGAAAGCCTCAAAACCTCAGAGTTTGTTCAAAATGCCAAATAAAGTTGCTGGTGCTTGGTGCCCATACCTTGAGAAGCCCAGGTGTTTGCAGGTGGTGTTCCCGTACTCTGCCCTCCAGTCGTCGGAGCAGACCGTTCGCCAGGACCCAAAGGTGAACACTTGCAGCACTGCCCTCTTCCCACTCAGCCTGACTTTGAGATTCAGGACAAGAAAAGCCTCAGTGAGCTGTGAAGATCAACATCAGGCACATGACAGTGCCAAGGCAAAACTGTGGTGTCTGTGTTTTCTGGCTCGCTGAGTTTTTACTGCTTGTCTTTATCGACACTTGGATTCTTTGACAGATTTTTTCTGTGCTTTGTTTTTTCCCCTCCCATTAAAGAAGGGAACTAAGGTACTGTGAGCTAGGACAGCTAGGGGAAAAAATCTTTTCTCATGGGAATGTCAGCTCTAATACAGGTGGTGGAGGCTGCCACTCTTGCTGATTGCAGTGAGCTGGAGCTGCAGGTGCTTTGCCCTGAGGAAACCCATGGTCAGGGTTAGGGATGGAAGGTGGGGAGCACCTCCTGTGTCAGAGGGGTGGATGCTCTTGTGCCCAGCTGTCCTGGACCTGGGAAAGGGCACATCAATGTGGTGTTTCCAGGGAGAAGGGAGGCCATGCACGTGGTCGCTGCTGAACAGGGCTTTCCCACACGTGCCCACAATTCCAGTGTGTTGGAATTGCAAAGGAAGACAGGAAAAGCAGAAGTATTGCCACTGGCTCCATGGAGGCCTCAAGCCTCCCTGGGGAAAACTCCCCAAATGCTGGACACATTGTGCAGGGTTAGCTGGGGCCAAAAGCCTGTGGTTCCTGTCATTCCTCCTACAGCACAGATGGAAAGCTGTGCTGCCTCAAGTACAGGAGCCAGGATTACAGAGGCACTGAGCTAAAACCCAGTTTTTCTGTTCTTTAATATTAAAGTCCTTTCCCTCCAATGGCTGTGAACACCACAGTCATCTTCTATAGCACAGGACAGGGAAGTACCATTTAAAACATCCCTGTGATTCCCAAAACTACCACAGAGAGAAATTCAGAAATAAGTTATCCATTTCACACATGAAGCAGCAAACTCTGCAGTACTGAGTGCACAAAAGGCTGACTTCTCCCATTCCCACATCCTTTAAGATAACACCAGGCTTTTGCAATCTTCAAAACTGGCACAGCACAACGGTGTGAATATCACAGAGCTCTGCATTTACACACCACAAGGCAGTGGGGTTGTACCTTGGAGGCAGAGGACATGGGAGCAGACAAAAAGCATCTGGGCTTCTAATGGAGGAAATTATCAAAAATGGCAGTAACAATATTCAACAATCATCACATTCCTCTGAAAAGCAGTTTGATTTTTCATAAACTGTAAACCAGTACCTCACCACATCTGTACTCATCCTCCCCTTCTTTACAGTTGAAGACACCATTGCACCTGGCTGATTTCTGGATACACTTAAAGGATGATCGACAGCGAAACTTCCCAATGCAGTTGTACTGGACTAAAAGGAATGAAAGAACATAGGGCAATAAAACACACTGGGATTTTAATTTAACACTTCTGCATTCTATTATCTGCCCAGATTTCAGTCTTGCTAGGAAAAAGCCAGCTCCTGTACTCCAGGAACTTTTGAAATACCACCTGGAGGTTGCTCTATGGTGCTGCTAAAACTCATTTATTAGTAATGACTCGTGGGAGGAGTCAGCCTTGCTGTGTGTGCTGACTCCTTCCCAGCTCCCTCTAAATCCCAGTTTAAATTTCACTTGAGGGTGAGTTCCTGCCTGGTGCCTCAGACCCTGGCCAGGAAATTAGGGAGACCCTTGGAAAACACATCCAGTGCTCACTCTTCACAAGGGAATGCCTCAACAAGCTGATCCCTATTCCAGGTGTGGAGACACAGCAATATATTTGACCCCTGGACTGGAGCAGGTCACTTCCCAGCCACAACTAAACTCATTCTGCAATTTTTTTTTTCCTTTGTAGAAGTTGTTTTTGATAAGGGAAAGTTTTCTAGTTCTTTGAAAGCAAACTTAGAGAAGTGAATTACAAGGCAGAAATATGCTGTGGGTACCCACAGGGGGTTTCTATACCCTCAGTTTCTAAACTCATCTCACTGCTCGAGGGAACCTGACAAAATTTTACTAGAGAAAGGTGTCCTGAAGCTGCAGGTTCCCCAGGGTTGCAAATATTACACCACTCCTCTCATGAGTGCCAGACCTATTTTATCCCTACATGTAAATAAAATTTAAAGCCATCACATCAACAAGATTTTTTACTTCCACAAACAAGCCACAGTAGCAGTTTAATTCCATTCTCAGTAAAAGGCTCATGAAAAATTAAGCATTTGAATGGTTAAGTGAGAACCTAATGAATAACTAATGGTACTCACCACCCAGGCCAATGGCAACTGCTAGGATTACTGCAAAGAACAGACCACAGATAAATGGGAAGTATTTTAGGGAGGCAAGAGCATGGCACATTGAAGGTGGTTCAATGTCACCTGGAAAACAGAGATAAAGCTTCCATGAGGTTAAACCAGCTGAGTTTGCAAATAAAAAGATTTATCTGACATTAAGCTAGTTATCATCAATAACTCCTGGATATACTCTATGAACTGACCTCACCTGAAGGGATTTGGGTTTGCTTTCTCAGAGAATGAGAAAATTCCAAGAGATTTGGGGCTGCTGCTGCTCTTGGATATACCTTGAGCATTTGCTTTGGGAGGATCTGAACTGTGTCCCTGCAGAGCACCTGTCCTCAATGCAGTCAACAATGGGAGCTCCAAATTTTCATTTTCATGGGCTAAATCTCACTCAGAGCTTTTCAAGAATATGAGCACCTCTGTGGGAATGGATCTGGCTGGGGACCCAAGCCAACTTTGCCCAGAAAAATACAGGCATTAAGTTCAAGCCTTGGGAAGCATACCTTGAGGTTGTGGCGAAAGAGAAACGGCTCATGGCAGTTCGTTATGTTAATCAAGTCACCCCATATAAGGTTATGTTTCTAGAATGTTCCCAGATCTCTCCCCTGATTGGTTGTAATTAGTCACTGTACTTTGCATATTTCTAACCCCAGTCTGTGATTGGATCCCTGCCCTCAGACTCCGCCCCCAGACCGCCCCTAGATATTGTTGTGTCTGGGCCTCGTCCTGGTCCCTGTGCTGTGCATGGCTTATGGGCCTTGTCCCTACTTTATTTTCTTATTAAAGTTCTTCTGTTTTCGGGCACTCCATTGAGCCTGCTCCTTTCATTTGCACCTCAGTTTCCCTGGAGTCAGGGGACACTCAAGTTTTAAGGATTGTTGTGGCCACCCTCACTGCTACACACCTCTGCTGAAAACTTTAGTCCTGAGATAAGAATTAAATTCAGAACTGTTCTGTCTGTAATCAAACCTGTATGCAGCTCATAAACAGAAGTTCAAGCCAAGAAGGAGAAAAATTATTGAAAGCTAAATTTGCAAAAAAAGCAGGATCCTCTAAATAGTCTCAAAAACTGTGAAAAAGTGATCTGTTCAAAGTTTTGCTGTAAAGGCAAGAAGAGAACTGAGTGATGGCTCAAGGATAAGTCTTGAGTTTTCAAATACAAAAAGATGCATCTGAAGTTAAAATATTCATCAGTACATTGCAGAATACATTTCATGAGCTGGACATGTTCACCCACCACCAGCCTCCAGAGCTGACCTCTGCTTAGTGATATTGCCAGTCTGGAAGACAACAAGAGGTTCTGCTGAATATAATGAGTGGTTCACTTGTCTCAAATGTATTCTGACACACAAAGGGCAAATTGAGGGGAAATAGCAAACACAGGTGGGTCGTGAGTGCACACAGGAACTGGCAGAACCTTATCTTCAATTTCAGTTCATACAGCTCTTCACTTCCCCATTCCTCAGGCTTTATAATTGAGGTTGGCAGATACAATCAGTCATGAATAAGGAGCATCTTCAGGGGTTTATAGACTCTCTGGTAAATCCCAGCTTCCTCAGACTCCCAGGAGCTGCTGAGTAACTGGTTTTGGCAATGGAGTTGGTGTCTGGTATGCCAAAAATCTTAGACAGCTGTAGCAGCTAATGGACTAGAAAATTGCATTGCTCTATTTTCACTCTGGAAGCTCAGCCTGTCTCTGCTGGAACCCATGGCTATTTTGAAACCTATGGGAAGCAGCAGACAGACATGCTAATCCTCCAAGGCTGCTGCATTTTATATTCAGGTTTTTTAATGGACCAATTTCCAGGTTGACAAAATTTCAAACAAACCATTCAAAAATGTGTCTGAAAAGCGTGGGGAGGCCTTTTCTTCTGTGTGAATGATCTGGCTGTGAAAAATGCTTGAGTGTGCAAATGGACACAAGATGTCATCACATCACTGAGCTGACAAACCTCACACCTGTGGGAGGGAGGTCGTGTTTCTTCCTCCTGGGGGATTGCTTGCTCTGGGTGGGCAAGCACAGTCTGGGACACAGTGGCCACAGTGGGGATGGAAAAGATCAAAGGGCTGTGGATTGTCCCTACCAGATCCATCTGCACTCGGGTCCACTCTTGCTTGTGGTATGAAGAAAAATCTTTTGAAGGTAAACTGAATTTGTGGTACTGGCGGTTCATCTTCTGTAACAGAGATGATTTCAAGACTTCCAGTCGTGGGATTTGTCTCTTGAGCCTGACTCAATGGGAGAGGAAAAAAGAAAAAAGGAAAGAAAATAATCATTATAATGTTGTCATAGAGTCACAGAATGGTTTGGGTTGGAAGGGACCTTAAAGATCATCCTGGTCCACCCCCTTCCACTATCCCAGGCTGCTCCAAGCCCCAGTGTCCAAACTGCCCTTGGACACTTCCAGGGATGGGGCATCCACACCCCCATCTGGGTGTGTTCTGGGCACCCTGTGCAGGGCCTCACCACCCTCACAGTGAAGAATTTCTTCCTAATATCTCATCTAAACCTTCTTGTAGCCCCCTTTGGGTACTGGAAGGCCACAAGGTCTCTGTGAAGCCTTCTCCAGGATGAAGAACACCAACTCTCTCAACCTTTCCTCATAGCAGAGGTGTTCCATCCCTCTGAGCATCTTCCTGGCCTCCTCTGAACTCACTCCAGCAAGGCCCATGACCTTCCTGTGCTGAGGATCTCAGAGCTGGACACAATACATCGTTATGTACCTAATGTTCATGTGGGAAGTGCTTATAATTAATTTACCAGCAAACTATTTTAATAGAGGTTAATTTTTGGTCAGATTTGTCTAAGCACCGGAGCTACTTTTAATAACTCACACTGGGGGTGTGAATCCACCCCCTGATCTATAATTGAAATAGGAAACAAGAGAAAGACTAAAAGGCATAGGACAGCAGCACAGCACCTTACAGGATCCTCATTCAGGGGAATTTTACTCCAGTAAACTTTTAATGACTTACTACACAGGGGAAAAAAAAAAAAAACAAACAAAAAACAATTGAAATGAGCCACACTAAAATTCGGGGCAAATAGATTTGAAATCCTAATTTCTGACTCTGGGGTTGCACAATGGAAAACGGAATCAGAATTTTCAGCTCACCGTGGTGGGAAATAGGTCCAGTTTTGTAAAAGACAGTGGAGCTGGTAAGCTGTAAAACCAGTCCCAGAAAAAGCTTACAGTGACACATTTTAGACAAAGAATACATGTTTTATCTGTGACATTATATCTATAATGGAATATAACCTGGCGTATTTTTCACCTGTCATAAGGTTTATGCTCTTCCATTTGGTAAAATTTCACCTACATTTCAATGAATGTAAATTAAACTTTGTAGAGAATCTGCCAGCATGACTGTTAAATATTTAAACCAAAAACCTTCTGGCTGGTGCAAATTTGCCCATCAGCAAACAAAACAGCATTGTGAGCTAAATTACATGCAAGCCGCACACTGACATTTCACTTATTCACAGGCTATCACATGCTCCCAAACCTTCACTCACCTCTTCCTGAGAAGTCATAGTTAAAAGCAAAACTGTTTTCCTTCTTCATTATCAAAAGCAACCCAAAGGAAAGTCAGAGTTTGCTGAGCCACTCTGCTCGGGGAGGGTTTCCAGCCGGCCGCTGCGCGCGGCATCGCGGCCGCAGCCCGTGTAACCCAACCTGGAGAGGGGTATCGGGTGGCCCCGGATGGCATAGCTACGGAAGGGGGGAGATAAAAATTCAGCACGCTGTTTAATTAGCTTAAGAACACCAGGCAACATTGTGGGATTTGCAAACCTTCCTGCAACCCCTTGGCAAAGGAGCCCCACGAACGCCACGTGAGCGCTTGTTCATCCTCTGTCAAAACCGAGGGCCCTGAACACCAAGAGCTGTGGGTGGCAGAGAGCATCAGCCCCAGGGCTTCATCTCTTCAGCACACAAAGCTCACGGACTCACCTTGCTCCTCCTTCACTTGGTTTAGCCGTGTGCCTGCACAGGGTTTTTGAAAAAGCAGCGTCTCATGTTGCTGAAGGATCAACTCAGTTGTACGCCGGCAATTAGAAAATGGAAATGTGCATTCAGCTGCAAGGAATGCTCAAGAGTAGTAATAATTTGGCTGTGCTGTTTTCACTTAGAAGAGAGATTCCCGGCAGAGGGAAGGGTGGAGGGAAGAAGGAGAAGGAAGGATGATGCAAAAAGCCACAGGAGTGTAAAAGGCTTCCTCAGGAGAGGCAAGGGAGGAAATGAGAGTTTTCCATGATTAAACCCACATCCCTGGAATATGGCTGAGATGAGAGAAGCTCTTCAGTCCCATTTCTGTGCATGATGGAGAGTGGCACTTCCAAAGGAGAGGACACTACATCATGATCCTGTTAACTTCAGCCATGACATCAAGAATCCTTCATCATCTCCTGTGTCACTCTTTCAGAAGCCTTCCCTGGAAATGGGGATACTCTCCCCACAAGGCCTCAGATAGTTCTGATGGTTCTCCAAATGTCTGGAGAACCAGCTCAAGCTGGTCAGGTGTCCCAAGGGGAGTTTCAGCCAAAGTGGGGAAAACATGAAGGCTCATTTCAGGTGACCAGCAGCTCAGGTGATCCTTTCAGTCCATGGGGTGAGGTGTCCGTCCTCCAGAGAGAACACTGATTCCTACAATGAGGACAGAAAAAACTGTCTCCAAAACCAATTCACACACTCTGGCCACGCTGGAAAGGCTGGGGACCAGCCAGGGTTAGCTCTGCAAAGGCTCCCAGTGTGACTGGCACCACTGGAAAGGACAAGTCCTTCTCCCTGCTTTACCCTGAGCTGCTCCAAGCTCAGCCTCAGGTGTGGTGTCTAGATGGGACATTGGGTTTAATCTTCCACTGTTTGGTTGCTCATTGCCTTTGGATAAGAAGACCAAAGTAGGAGCCACACATGATATGGGCAGGAGGACCTGGAAACTGAGCCCAAAAGAAAAGTTTTGGCCTCCAGACTAAGTTCCTACACGCTGTAGGACAGCCCCACTTGTTCCCCCCAGTGCAGTTGCAGCTCAAGTGGGTTTCTTGGCTTTCAGGAGACAGTTTAAAGTGAAAAGCTAAAAGGTTCCACCTCAGCCCCTTCAGCCAGCCCTCTCTGACTGTGGTGGTTACCTTTGGGCTCCTCATCTTGTTCTGCAAGGGCAGATAGGAAAAGCTTTTGCTTTTTCAGCCACCTATGACAAAAATTCAGAGGCGTGGATTCTATGAAAACAGGATGTCAGCCTTTCGTCAGAAAAGATCACAAGGGGAGTGAGGTTTCTTTATTTTATTTTATCCGCCTCTTTCTCTCTCTCTGTTTCATTTTCTGACTCCCTCCTTCACATCCTCCTCCCACCTCCCAGTTTCTGCCAGCGCTGAGCACGCGGAGAGGGGAGGACACGGAGGAGATGGCAGTGGCCGAGGCACAGCTGTACGCAAAGGTGTCCACCAAGCACCGGGGCAGGAGCACCTCTGCCCTCCTCGAGCCTCTCCTGGCCAAAGGATTCCCGGCTCATATCGCGTGAGTAGTGTGCTCGGCTGCCTTTGCACAGAGAGATTTATTTAAGATGTGAGGCGTTTGCCATGAAATCTCAAAACAGGCAGCCTGGTTTTTTTGATCAGGAGATGGTGCTGCTCCTGGGGGTGATGTCTCCATGCAGGGATCAGACCTCTGAATTTCCTGTAGAGCAGTGTGTATTGCCCACATAGCATAACCAACCTGCTCAATATCCAGTATCTTAAAATACTGTGTAAATCTAAAGATGCACACCCTTCCACATCCTGAGTTTTGGGAGGCTTCTCCATGAGTTGAGAAGTTGACCATAGTTTGCTCTTGGGATGCATCTTCTTTCTTTTTTTTTTTTTTTTTCTGCTTATTACTTTTATTATAAGGGAATTAAACATGGATGTAATTTCTAACCAGAGGGTTTTTTTCAGGCCTGGCAAAAAATCTCTTGCTGGATGGTGTCACTGGAAACACTTTTTGTCCCTTAGGATGCCCCATAAGTCTCTCAATTTTTCTTCCTGTCTTGAATCTTGAATTCCAAAAATCATGTCCTGCCTAGAAAATGTCATAGCGAAAAATGAGGCACTACTCTTGGAAACTCCAGTGGATGAGAGAATAACTGGTGACAGGTAAACAAGTTACTGCAAAAGAAAAGTGCCAATCATTCCTCCCCCAAACATCTCTCCTTTTGGACAGGCAAGTTTTGGGGAGGATTTTCCAATTTTTGGATGGCAAGTAGGGACATTTTGGTTCAAACTGTTAAAAAAATTAATCTTATTATTTAAGTATCAAAGAACCCCTTATAAAAAAAAAATATTTTAGAAAGAAGAGCAATATCTCTCTACCTTTTGACTGAAAATTAAGTGAGTGGAAGGGGTTCCATTTTTAAGTGCTGTGTTGTTTTTTGGGAACAGCTGTGGTAGCAATGTCAGACACAATGGGCACAGCTCACAAGGGAACTGTGAGTCCCCTTCTCCCAGTGATGCACAGTGGGATTTTAGCTGTGGGCTGAAAACATGGCTCATGATTTCTCTGTTAATAATGTAAGTTGGGCCAGCCCAAAGTAATGGCTACTTTTTCAAGTTTTATTCTGCTTTATGTGATGCTTTTCCAATCCCCTTCAAAACACTTTCTGCTGTTACTGAGATGACTTTGTGCTTCCCAGTTCAAAATCAAAAAGCAGCAGCAGAAATACTGTGCAAATTGATGTAAGGTAACAAAATATCAAAAAGCAATTCTAAAAAAAAATATTTCCTATCATTGACCTTAAGACCTTCAAAATTTTGATTGTGTTTTTAAAAAAACCTTTTAGCTGTCTCTGTTGTCCCTCAATTAAACCATGAATGAAAGTAGTGAAAAATTTCTTCTGAGATGTCCTGGCCTGAGAAATATGAGGTGGGGTAGAAGTATTACAAAATCTTCCATCATGTACAACCAACAGGCCAAAGCAGCATTTCCCCAATGAACAAAACTCAAATATGTGAGGGTCAAGATCAAAGATCAAAAAATTTCCACAAGAAACTGTGCCAGCAGTTTTTAGGGAAGAGCCAACTTATTATCACTGTAGATTTATTTTTAATCTACTTTCATTATAGATTCTCATTGGTTTATTCTTCTGTCTATCTGAGAGAAATTGGTACATGCAGAACTTATTCTTTGCATTATTTTTTAGTTTTCACTTCTCATCTTGGAAGTGTAGGATTAGTCACAGCCTGATGCACCCCTAGTGCTAAGGTCTCTATAAACCTTGCTGGAAATCATCCTACAGCCAACATTTGTGGTGAGACTGGAGGTGGGGATGGCTATGGAGAGGAGCAGAAGAGAACAACGAGATGGGACCGAGCAGGATGGCAGTTCATGGCCTCAGGTCTCACTTGTCTAATTGCATTTAATTTGGAAGGCCCCATGGTAAAGAAAAGCTGAAGCCAAGCTCTGTTTTAGCTCCAGAGCTGTTTGCACAGAGCTTGCCCCAGGGAGGAGAGGCGTGACACGGAGTGGTGAAACACTCACTCAGAGGCGCAATGAGTGGTTATGAACCCTGGCATCATTGCCACTGACGCTTCCACAGGGCTCAGCAAGAAAGGCTGAGTGAGGAGAGGGACACAAACACTGTTGTTTGTGTTTGGTGTGATGGAGAGAGAGGGCTCAGCCAAGGCACAGAAAGGAAACATGCAGTGTTCAGTCACAGAGCTGGCTTTAGACCTCGTGGCATTGATCCGGCCATGGAGTTTGATTTACTTTACGGAGAAGAGAGGTAGAAGGTAAAGTTTGTCATGCTTGTCCTCATCCCTGCTGAGCCTCACTGAAGAGCCAGCAATGGCTGCATATAAATGTTATTAAGAAGCCCAAGTATGGTTTTTACTCTGAAGAGAAGACAGAAGACTGGGAGGGAACACAAGGGTGAGTCCTGCAGCTCAATGCACACACTGCTGACATGTGTTTGGATGCTACGGGGATGGATGAAGAACAAAAATGGAAGGAGACAACACAACTCAGTGCCCTCAAGAGCAAGTGGCCGCAAAAGAGAAGGAAAGACATCAGCAAATGACAGGAAATTCAGTAGTTTTTTTCCAGCATCTTCTGTCTCTGCTTCCCCTTCATGTTTCTTCTGAGAAGTTTGTAGGTGCGTTTCAGGGGTGGAAATGGGTTTCATGAGTGCAGCTGCTGCTTGAACACTGGAATCCTTCCCCCATCACCCAGTATTTAGGCACAAAGATTTGCTCATGTGAAACACGTGGCTGGCCTTTTGAAAGCTCTAGTTAGAAAAGGAAATGCGAATCAAATCCCAGCCCAGAGAGTGGAAGTTGCGTTAACAGAGAGAAATGAGAGATTTTGTCCCTCAGCTTGGATGGAGCTGCTGGATTAGATCTGGCTCTCTGCTGGCTGTGGGGGATCCTCAATCCAGATTTCAAACCCCAATATAAGCATGTTTTGCTTAGTTTTAATGTTTGGCTCGGCATCTTGAATCAAAACCTTTTTGCTAAGAACCAAGAAAAAGTTGTTCTTACAGTGCTTGGAGAGATGGTTTATCTAACCCCAAGGAAATTCATATAGTCAGTAAGGCTGCTAAGGAAACACCTCCAGAAGACAAAGGAAGGGGAGGACAGGTTACCAATCTTCCAGGAATTAAAGACTAAAGGCAGTGAGGAAAAAGTTATCTGGTTTCAAGAGCAGTAACACCTGCTAGGAAAATCTTCTTGCTAAAGGTCCTGCCTGTGCTGGAAAATAGACTTGATGCCCATAGTAACTAAATGCTTTTACTTTATAACAGCTTTCTTTCTGGTATTCTGAGGATCCAATTTTGTGCTTTTTCTAGGCAAAAAGCCTTGGTTGCTACTGGACAAAAGACAATAGAAGATGCAGTAAAATGGTAAGTACCTGTGATTTCTAAGGTGTGCCTTCACATTAAACCTGCCTAAAAATCCTTTTTGATGTTCTCATTCTGTCACTGAATTTGAAGTTAGCTTCCCTAAAAAAAGAAAACAAACCTGAATTTAAGATTTATTTTTTTTTCCCATTTATTTCACTCAGAGAAATATTTGTACTGATTCTGGGACACAAGGTAACTTGCAGAAAGTCCAGGTAAATTAAAAACAAGCAGCCAGTTTTACCAATGAGTCAGTTCATGGGTCTGGTCAGAAAATCCTCCTCAGCTTTAAGTCTCCTGAGAGAAAGGAACAAAGAAACAGGGAAAATTCTTGTAAACTCATGACTGCAGTTAAAAACACATGCAGAAATAACAGCTGAAGGGGAACAGAAAGACCCATCACAAAGTAAGGTAAAAGGCTGAATGGTCAGAGGGAGGTATTATTACAATAATAAAAATTATAATGAAATATAAATAATAATAATAAATATTAAATAAATATAAATAATAATTTAAATAACTTCTCAGCTTTGAATGCCACAAAGTTTTCTCCTCCCTCTCACGAGTCTCACTGTGTTTACATCTCATTCATGTACTGATAACTGATCTTTTTTCGTTGTTTTAATTCACCTTCACATTAAATACAGTCTCCTTGCACTTTCTTTTGGGCTTTGTTTTGCTTTTTTAATTTTTTTCCCCTTGGTTCAGTTGCTTTTTTCTTCTATTTTCTTTTCTTTTGTGAAAATCCAGAGGAGGCATTTGAGAATGTTCCTTCCAAATAATTTTCAGTGATGCTGCCACACTTCCCAACAACCACTCCCAATCCAACAGCTGCAAAGACAAACTTACAGCATGTGAAGGACACGATGAACGATATCATCACACGGCATCTGAGCTTCTGACCTTTCCTTGTGCACTTTTGACTTGTCTTGCTTGCTTTTCTTAGGGCTGAATAAAAAGGCTCTTTTTGATGGCTTTTTTCAAATTTCAGCTAGTTTCAATTATGTCATTCTTCAACATGTTCCACCCATTGCCTTTTTCCTCCTCCAGTCCTTTGTTTCCAGTTATCAAAAAGTGGAATGGGGGGAGGGGGGAGGAAGACAAAACTCTAAAAAGATATTTTTTATTTTCTCTCATTTTCAGATACTGATAGAAGTGAAGGCACATAATGAAATGTAAAGTACTCAAAAAATAAGCAGAAAAATAATTTCTCCATTATTTTACGCATATATTATTCTCCATTATTTTATGTATATATTATGGGTATATATTATGTATACATAAAAATATATAAATATATATATTTTATTTGTATATATACTTAGATTTTTATATATATATTATAGATATATATATGCTTCAGAGAGGAAAAAGAGCTTTTTAATTTAAAAATAATTTCTCCATTATTTTCTGTATATATTATGGGTATATATTATATATATATATAAAAATATATAAATATATATATTTTATTTGTATATATACTTAGATTTTTATATATATATTTTAGATATATATATATATGCTTCAGAGAGGAAAAAGATCTTTTATTTCAGCTTCTCACTTGTCACTTGCAAGAAAATAATAAAATTGCATTTCCTTTATCTGATCTCTGCTGTGGAGGCTTTCAGCCACACGAGGGAAGAGCCAGCGGTGCACACACTCAGTCTCGGTGCTCTGCTCTTGATTCCAGGTTGCATTCCCACTGCAATGACCCCTCCCTGGATGACCCAATCCCTCAGGAATACGCCCTTTACTTGTGCCCCACGGGCCGCCTGCACAGCCGCCTGCAGGACTTCTGGCAGGAGAGCAAGCGCCAGTGCGGGAAGAACAGAGCCCACGAGGTTTTCCCCCATGTCACCCTCTGCGACTTCTTCACGGTGAGGCAAGGGGAGTGCAAGGGTCACATTTCAGCTGGGTGATAGTTGGTGAAACTGGGCCATCTGCGGGTGTCTGACACCAGAACTTGCTGGCGGTCAAATGACACGACCCAGGTCTAGGCCTGCTGATTAATGTCTGAGTGATGACAGCTAATGTTTGAGTGAGATGTTTCGGGGTAGCTGATCCATCTAGAGCAGCCCTGTGCAGTCCAGCTGCTGTCAGGCTTCCATGCTGCATGGATTTGGGATGATAAACCTTCCCAGCCATCAGCCAGCTGTGCAGCAGGGACAGTGTTATCACGGGATGCAGGCAGCTTTGGTGCAAGCCTGTGGGAATCTCAGGAAAAGCTCTGCCTTCCTAGAGAACCCCATCAGCAGGTCTCTGCTGTGGTGGCATGTCCCACATTCTACTCTTTTTATTGGATCTGAAGATTTTGTGAAATCTTTTGTGAAGTCCAGCACTTGACTGGTCTGGAAAAACTCTGGAGCCTCCTGGAATCCAGTTTTAGCATGTTGATGGTGCAACACATGGACATCAGCTGTATTTGGGATGTGCTGAAATAGGCTTGGGCTAGAGCAGCTGGACAAAAATTACTTTGTTCATCATACTTCTATGTTAAACCATTAAGTGCTTCCTTCCCCCTAAGGGTGGGTCATCACAACCATGCCAAAAAGAAGGGACAGTGAAAATAAGAGTATTTTGTTGTAAAATACTGGGTGGTTGGTTCTCTGTCACCATTAAACACAATTATACAGAACAAACCTCATTAATTAATGATGAATGCCATGCTCTTGGGAGGCATCAAGTTTAAAGGCCTGTCCGGAAGAGATGACAGCATTGCAGCCCTCACCTTGCACATCTCAGTAAAGGACTGTAAGATAACAATAACACAAATTCCTACTTAAAATTAAAGAGGGAAATCAGGATCCCCGTCTTATTTCAGACTGGTTACTGCACACCTGACAGATGGTAAAATATTTTGGCTGTTTCCTACCCTGGCTAGATACACCTTGGGTTGAAGGCTCCATCTCCTGTTACAGAACCAGGACTGTGCTGATCCAGCTGCCAAATACTGCTGGGTTTAATGCCAGGGAATTCAGGCAAATTCCTAGGTATTTTGTGTTTCTCAGGAAGTTTATAGCCCCACAGTTTTCTGGCAGTGCTGTATGACAGAGGCTACAACACTGGCTGTGAGCTGCTGGGTAAAGGCTGCTCCTCTGTTTTCTTTCAGTGTGAAGACCAGAAAGTGGAATTACTGTATGACATCTTAAAGCAAGTTGGTGACAGCTTTTCCCAGAGCTTTCCACCATCCATTTCCTTAACACTACACGCATCTCCCAGCTACCTTGGCTTCTTCATTGATGACATCCAGGCAAATGTCCTCAAAGAGTTTGCTGTGGCATTCTCATCAGAGGCTTCAGCCCTGGCAGGTAGGACCAACACCAGAGGGAAAATGAGTGGGTTGTAGCACAAATGCATAGCCACAGTACTGAAAACATTCCCTGTGTCTCCAGGGGAGCTCAGATAATGTTCTCCTGCCAGCAGCCAGCCTTTTCTCCTACAGATTTGCAAGCAGAGTAGCCAGAGGAACATGTTTTAGTCTTTGAAGACACAGCACTTTTTGCCTAGAAGCTGAAATGATCCTGTGTACAACTTGGCAGGTGATTGCTCAGGGACACAACACTCCCCACATCTCCACCCTCATGGTGCTGTGGCCCAGCTTGAAGGCCTGGCTGCATCCCTGGGAATAGTGCCTAATACCTTCTCCAAGGGAATCTGCATCTCCAGTGGAGACTGGAGGGGCACAGCCCCACTGCTGCTTTGTCTGGGAGAAACGCGTTCAGTACATCTCAGCCTGGGAGAGGAATCAAACCATGATCATTTCCTCATTTCCTCAGGGGTGAAGCCAGGAAGCAAACCCAGTCCACATTTGTGAATAACTTTGGCATTAATTAAAACCATGACACCCTTCAAAACCGTTACTCAGTCGATCTACTCTACCACTAGTTACTATGATATTTCCTGCATCATGCAAATTGTGTAGGATAAAACAAGAGAAGCTTTAAACAACCTTTGTTTCTGTGTAGTGATGTGATTGTTTCATCCCTAGACTGCCACGTGAAGCCCTCCTTGAAGCAGTTCCACCTTACCTTGGCCCACAGGTTTTATCCTCACCATCAGAAGACTTTGGAACAATTGGCCAAATGCATTAACCCAGGGGAGCCGTGCCAGTGGGTGGCTGCTCTCTATTCACGGGACATGCGTTTTGTGCATTACCAGGTACTGCAATCAGATTTATTTCATTTCCTGAGCCTTTAATTTTCTTTGCTACAGTTAAATTGCCTTTTCCAGCCTTAAGAAAATCTCTGCCTGCTCAGCACAGTGTTTCAAAGTGCAGGATTGTTTCCAGCACCATTTTCTCCTAAATCAGTAGATTATACCTTTATTTTGGTAGATTGCTTGTCCTGCATGTCTCAGAATCTAATTCCAAACCCTAGCAGAAAAAAACCTAATCTTACCATGACGTGAGAAAACAGGAGACAGGAAATCATGATCCTTCAGTATCTTCTAGGATTTTTCAGTTTACAGTTTTGCAGCAAAATTCCCTTCAGCAAAATTAGTTTTCTTGATTGTTCCTGCCATGATGAAAACTGCAGCAGTGAGCAGGGATCAGTTCTCGCTGCTAATTTTCTGCTTAGCAAAATCTCAGTTGAAGCCAGTCAACTAAGATTCAGTTCTCATCTCCAAATTTTAACTATGGATTGTTCAACAGCTTTTTGTCAGACCAGTAAATCACTTTGTCTCAAGTCTCATATTGGATTTTAGTCACACTCAGGAGAGCTGCAAGCAATCACAAAAATAGGTCAGATCTATGTTCACTTTCAAATACATCTGTACCAGTTACAGAGGGGAAAAAAATATTTTTGTGAAAACCAAGTGCCTGCTTTTACACATATAGTAAGTGTGGTAGTGTCCTTTTCCTCTGCCAAAATGCTGCTGAGGAGCAGGCTGCAGAGTGGAAAACAGAACCGGTTCTGTGTCCAGGAGAGGCAAACAACCATCCCCTGAGCAGCACAGGAACATCCTGACCCTGCTGTGTGTCCCCCCAGAGGCTGAGGGCACTCTTCCAGTACAAGCCCCAGAACATTGACGAGCTCCTGATCAATGCTGGGGATTTGATCTACGTGGACCCACGGCAGCAGAGCGACGTGAGCGAGGGCTGGGTGATCGGCACCTCGCACCGCACCGGCTGCAGGGGCTTCCTCCCAGAGAACTACACCGAGAAAGCCCACGAGTCAGACACCTGGGTCAAGCACAGGTACCTTGGTGTTTCATGGGCCTTGCTTTCCTGCTCAGGAGCCGTGGCAGTTCCTCCTTACCGGGAGCTGTGGGCAGAGGGGGAATCCTGAAGGTCTGGGTGGGATGCTGGGATGTCTTCTGAGAGAAAAGAGACAGGACATGCACCTGCAGACACACAGAGTTCCTAAGTCCAGGTGCTCGAGGGATGACCCCTGTTCACTCTTGAAGAACCTGAATGCCCTAATGAATTTTGAAAGAGCAGATTCTGCCAGGGCAGGCTCAGCCTTTAGCCTGGCTCTCTGGTCTCTTCTTCTTTTCTCAATTCAAGGGCTTGCAAAGTTAGCTTGAAATGAAACCACACAAAGGTTGCTCCACCACCTTGGCACCACCCTTATCTTGTTGATGTGCTCTGCATCAGAAGGCACCTGCCTGGCTTCCTGCACTTCTTTCTGCAGCTGACATTCTGCAGCACAGCTGATGCTACTTGTAGATTAAAGCAGATTTTTCTAAGATGGGAAGTTTTGGTGCACTTCTTGATGTCTCAGAAAAAGGGAGGAGGCCACTAGGTAGTATTTCCTGCTTGAAGGTCCCACTTTAGCAGGGTTACACTCAATATACATGAGAAATTCCTAATATTTTAACCTCATTTTTATGGGGTATATTCCAAATGAACAGCAGAGTGATGAGGTAGATTGCAGGTGTGCAAAAAGTACTGAATGGAACACAAATCCTGACTTGCTGATCCTGTAAACAGTATCATGACTCAAAAGTCTCTTCTGTTTGTGTTTGTGCTGCTTCTGCTTTTCCTACAGGGAATATGTTTTTAACACAGCTTTGAGACCCTTCACTAAAGCTGGAAAGGAACCCAATGTAAAGCTGAATGGGGAAGCCCATAATCTCAGTATGTCAAGGAGTGCAACCAATGTTCTTTCTCTTCAGGTAATTGTTTTTTCCATTTCTTATCTTTGCCACATGCTTTGGCAGATATGCTATTAATTAATGGCATTTAGTAAATTTAGTGTTCTTCATTTTCCTCCCTCATGTTTTCATAGTTTTGTTGTACATTTATACATACCATTTTATTTATTATGTTGTATGTTTATTTTTACATACAAGCTCATACTGTATTGTATAATATCAGATTTTTTTGTAATGTATATGATGCATATCATTCTTGTCTTTCATTAATCTTTCCCCGTTCCTGTCATAATAGCAAAACACATGAGTTCTTTGCTCAGGTTTGTCTGAGCACAGCCTCAGTGGGTATGGAGACAAGTCTGACAGGTGAGACACAGGCACAGCCTGCCCTGACTTCCACATGGCTTCAGGCAGAGGAATTAAATCAGAATTAGGCTCACTGTTCATGGCTGATCTTATGTCCAGTTTCTATGAATGTTGTCTTGGAGGTTTCCACCACCCCAGATCACATTTAAATGTTCCACTTTCTTCTTTATTTTTAGATATGTAGCTCATGCAGATAACTGCACAGAACAGCTAGCTGGAGTGGTTAACAGCACTGGTAGGATCACATTTTTCACTCAGGTTCAGAATCAACAGGTATCAATTTTTCCTGTGTTCACTGGTCTTCTGGTAGGAAGAACAAAACAAATAAGGACTCTGATTTTTTCCTACAGCACATTTGTACCAACATTGCCTTTTTGGCTCTGTCAGAGATGGCAAAATGCACTTTCAGCACAGACAAGGGTTCAGAAACCCCTTTAGCTTGCTGTCCCCCACAGCCTTTCTTCCTGCTGTGCTGGGCAATAACCCTGGGCTGGTTTGTGCTAATATCAGAGAAACTGAGTTCACCTGGAGGGAACTTCCATCCTGGGGCCTCCAGGACACCATGGATATGACTGTAAGAACTTTCTGAACAAGTCACACATCCTTCCTCTGGCTCTTGGCCTCTCTTATCCAGGTCAGATCTGTGGCAGAGCCAAGGCTTGGCCTGAGACACAAGTTTTGCAGATGGGCACATCTCCAGTCTAGAGTTTCCCTGGCCCCTGTGCTCCTCTCAAGCAGAAGAGGAAGACCACAAGACCTTGGGTTTATACTCTGATCTTGTGGCAGTTGATGGGTGTTTCATGGCAGAAGTGCAAATATTTAACAGAATGCATGAATATCAACCTCAAACCACTTGTTAAGAGTTCCCTTCTCTGTTGCTGAAGATGCAGAGCACTTCACTCAGTGCTGCAGCAGTAACGCTCTTGTAAAGTTTTAAAACCTTTGACCTGTTTCTCCTTATCTTCTTCTCATTTGTATTTAATGTGCATTGCATACTAACCCCAAATTACTTCAAGCTTATTTGTAATCCCATGCAGTCTAAGTGAAAAACAGTGGTCCTGTAGGAGATCTGGGTACACTGTTGATTTGGCCACACTGTTATGAAAATGTAGAAGCAGTATTTTCACTTGGAAAAGAAAGAAAATCTTTGCATTAGTCCTGGTGTAGAAAAGGGTATGACCAGTCAGATCTTAGCTAGTTTTCTGGTTTTTGTTTATATCAAACATATGATATAAATTAAAGTTATGATTCCTTCCCATACTGAGATTAAAAGATCTGTCACCAGCAGTGTCTTTCACTAGTGCTAAAACAGAAATAGAACCTGCAGCCCATGAGGGTCAGGGATGTGACCTTTGACAGGACAAGAGGAAGTGGCCTTAAAACACACCAAGGGAGGCTCAGGCTGGATATCAGGAAGAATTTTTCCACTGAAAGGATGATCAAGCATTGAACAGAGTTCCCAGGGAGGTGTCGAGTCACCAAACCTGGAAGTGTACCAGAAACAACTGGATGTGGCACTCGGTGCTGTGGCTGAGGTGACAACGTGCTGATCAGCCAAAGGTTGGACTCAATAATCCCAAAGTGATCCTTAATGATTTTATGATTCTCTTTCATTTGCCTTTAGTGGAGATCCAGTCAGGTTTATCACTGTCCTAAGGACAGGTGTCTGTTATAGTGTCTCTTCTCCAGGAATCCAGACTTTCCCTGCAGGTTATAGATAACATCCTTATGAAATAAGGAAATTCATCCTTATGAAACTCCCTTTTCCCTGCTGTCTCAGAACGCCGCCCTGCGGAGAGCGGTGCTGGTGATGCGCCACGGGGAAAGAGTGGATCAGGTCTTTGGCAAATCTTGGCTTCAGCAGTGCCTGACTGCAGATGGTGAGTAAGGTAACGGGAGGAAAGTCCTTCATGTTTATGGTCACTAAATTCTGCAGGCAAACCAAGCCCTTGTGTCTCACTGGTACGTGAACAAATCACAGGAGCACACTCGTCACCTCTCACTATGCGAGGGGATGGTTGTCAGACCCCTCCACCTGTCTGTGCCTGAGTCAGAATCATAGGCTGTTCATCAGTCACACTCCATCTGGGGAAATCTGTGGTGGAAATAAAATGTCAGCACTGACCTAATTTCCTCTCTCTCTCAAAAAAAAGGTGTGTTTTCAGGTGAAGAAAACTGACCCAAAGCAGGGAAATGTGTGTGTCAGGAGGAAGGAGGGGAACAAGAAATTCACAAGTGAGAGCTTTATGCTGAAAGTCTCCCTTGCTATGCTGGAGAGTCCCCTTATTTAGTGCAAGGAATTCACACCAGATAAGGAGAGAGGTACTTTATTGCTGCATGATCCATGCATTGATTTCATTTTGATTCAGTGGAAATGGGTTTTTTTGGTCATTTTGGCAACTGTAAAAGAGTATAGATAGGGAGTCAATTTTTGTTTCTCTTGAGTCCCACAAAGCCAAATTCTCCTGATTTCCTGATCTTTCTCTCCTCCTCCCCATTTGCTCCTTCTGAGCTTGAAGAAGAGGGAGCTATTCTGTCAGGACAGATGATTTCCCAAGCCAGTGTTGTAACCTTAAAACATGACCCCCTTTAAGGTAATAGCACTGTCTGGTTTTCATCAGTGAGACACTGACTGTAAAACAAACATAACACAGCTGCTGCCTCCCTTGTGCCACAGCAAAATGTCCTGCCTTGTTTCAGGGAAATACTACAGAGCAGATCTGAACTTCCCCTCCTCCCTGCCGAGGCAGAAAGACAGCATGAAGCAGTTTGAATGTGATCCTCCATTATCCTGCTGTGGTATTTTCCAGTCAAGGCTTATAGGTAAGCTGGATATTATCCTCCTGCAAATGGAAGGGTTTGGGAAGCAGGCTGTCATCACCTGCCAAAGCTCATGCTGGCTTTGCAGCAGAACAATTTCCTATCAGCACTCACTGTGGCCACAATTCTCTGTGGGCAACCACTGCAAGATCTTCTTAAATTGTAAAATAGAGAAAACACAGCTGGTTATTTGTCTTTGAGACCCCCCCTCTGGCAACTCCTGGCAGAGAAAATCAGAAGGAAGAAGCCAGAACACTACCTGTGCTCTGCTGCTTGTCTGCAAGGGATTGATGTCTTATGCAGCTGTTCCTGAGTGGGCAGTGAGGAGTGAAGGGGCTGGCCAGAGGAAGCAGCTCCGTGGTCAGCAGTGTGGTCACCTCCCTGCAGGAGGATGGGTGATGTGGGTGACTCAATCCACTCACCAGTTGGAGTTGTTTGTGCTCCCTGAGCGAGATGCATGACTGTGACAGTGCTGGTCTGCTGCAAATGTTTGTCTCTGATGGCTCAGATATATGGAGATAGCCAAATGCCTAACTGCTGTTTGCAGGTTTGGTGTAAATCTTCTGTAATTATCTTTCCAACACTCATTTTAGAATTGATGTTTCCACCAGAATGAGCTTTCTAATGAGCTTAATCAGCAGATAATGGGATAAAAAAATGAATAGGAAGGGACTGTCAATGTATCCCGTGTTGATGAAATTGCAAAGCTCTGAGCTGTTTTTTTGTAGAAAGTGGTTTGTAGTCATTTCTCATCTGTCACACTTTGCTGTTGCCATCCAGGGGAAGCTCTGCTGGACCAGGAGGTGACAGTCAGCTACGTGTACTCGTCCCCTGCCCTGTGCTGCGTGCAGACAGCTCAGCACATACTGCAGGGTAAGGCAGCAAAACCTGCCAGGTGCTTCTGCCACACTGGAAACATCTTCACCAAACTTCTGTGAAGTCTCTGACACGAGCAATTAGGAAGATGTACGACTCTGTGGTTATTTGTGGTTTTCTTTAGGCAGGGAAGGCAAGGTGGTTGTGACTAGGTGGTAATGCAGGCAGCAAACAAACCTGCTGGTGTGTGCACGTTCTGTGGGATGTATCACAGTAACTCTGGTCCTTCCTAGTTAGAACAGAGTAGAATTTTATATGAAACAGAGGTGTTTCTTATCTGCTTAAATTCAACATTAGTAGCTTTTCATCAAATCACCACTGCCACCTCTTCCAGAAAATATTTTGACCCAAATATCAGATGTTTCCAGAGCTCTGAAGGATCTGAATGTGAATCAGATGCTTCCACACTTTCTTCTGCAAGCCAAACTATTTTTTAATCCTTCATATTGCAGAACATCTTTCCCTTCCTTTCCTCTCCCTCTTCTTTTTTCATCTCCTGTTCCTTTCAACAAGTTCACAGCTCAGTACCATGTTTACATCAGAATACATTTATTGCTCCTTAGTAACCCCTCTTGAGAATACTCAAAAAGTAACATTTCTTTTGACAAGACAGTTCCATTTCTAATACTGGACAGTTTGGATGATTTACTGCCCCACTGAGGAACACCGAGCAAAATGTTCTAAAAAAATGGTAAAAACATTTCCTTTCTGAAGTTTATTCAGATTGCAACATTGAAAAACTGAGTTTTTTCCTTCTAACAGAGCATCACAGGAGAGCTTCAAAAATCATGATTATGATAATGATAATAATAATTTGTAGTCCCTTTATGTTAGTTAGATAAGAATATAATGGTGGTTTCCTTTAATCAGTTGGTTGATAATAAGTAATTTGTTTCCATTAATGAAAGTACAACAGCAAACAAGGCAGACTGCATATAGCACTTTGAGTGTACCTTTTTCATAAGATACAGTTCTTGTTCTTACAGGGCTTAAATTAAATCAAAAAGTCAAAATCAGGGTGGAACCAGGACTGTTTGAATGGACCAAGTGGGAAGCAAGCAGAGCAATCCCTAACTTCATGACTGTGGCAGAACTGGTGGAGGCATCTTATGACATAGATACAACTTACAGGTAACTGCTCTGTGTCTGGCTGATGAAGCTGTGGGGATTTTCCCTGAGATATCTTGTCCTTTTATGTTTCATAAATCATTACAAACACTGCAAAGATTGGGTGATTCAGACAAAACACTTTAGAAATGGGAAGAATAACCTGATTTCCAGTGACAAAGAAATGTGATGTTATGTAAGGTCAGTCAGCCCTTGGCAGAGCAGCAGCAAGAGGTTTTTGGGGACAGGCAAGATAAGAGCCTTTCACTTTATTGATGCTTCTGGCACTGTTTTAAGTTGCTCAAAGATTAATACTTTGCTCAGCAAGGGCTTTTTGGAGCCCTCATAGCTTGGTGGGGTGAGGGTCGATGCCTTTTCTGAACACTTGCAAACCACAGCCCGGCAGGAAATGATAAACCTCCAATTCAATCTAGCTCCTCATCTCGTTCACAAACCAGGCTGCTCGCTGTCTGCAGTGCACAGCCAGATCCAGGAAATTACTCAGCTGTCTCTGGGATTTCCCATGTATTCAAGCAAGGGGGAAAGGAAACATCTCATGTCTTAATGCATTCCTTACAGCCAAGGATGTATCTTTGTTTGAGAGTGCATAAAGACTCCAAAATCCTTCTTTTTTTTTGGAGCACAGGTATTCTGGTGTGTTTTGCACTAGCAGACTGTATTCTCTAAGGGTTTTTTGGTACAAAATCACTTGCCTCAAAAGAAACTCTGCAAATACACCACAGTGGGAGGTTCAGAGGGGAAATCTCTAGGGCAATGTTAACTACAGTGTTTAGGCCCCTCACAGCTCACTTAGGTCCAGGCAAAAACAGGGTGGATGAACTATAAACTTGCACATAGAATGCCAGTTTCTTCCCATCACATGCATGGTTGAAAAAATCCTTGGGTGCCAGGTGTTATGAATGAGTGTTTGAGAATCACTTGAAGAACCACCAGCAAAGGGTAAAAACCAGATGTAATATTAAGCATCAACAAAATTCACTGTCCATTCATTGTCTCCAGCTGAGTTCATTGGACAGCAGGGTCTGGTTTTACCATATTCAACCACTGCAAATGTTGTTCATCACCCAAGCCCAGACCTCTGACACTGCCCTGATTCACAGCAGTGTGAAAGTCAGGCTCTTATTTTTTTGGGGTGCCTGAAAAGCACTGGTATATAAAAGAAAGAATTCCTGGTCTCAGCATGAGTGGTCAGATACTTTGGAATGATGCATTGTGATTATTGCCCCTGGAAACACCTTTTTTTTAACTCTAGCAGTAGAAGTCTTTACTATCCATTTGACCAGCAATGCAGATAAGCCTCATTCAGAGATTTTTATTTTAGATTTTTATTAACTGGGTTTTTTGAGGAGATTAATGCTGAGGTACCAAATCTTGCAAGCATTCACATCATGAGTGTCTCTCCTTTGTTTGAACTCAGGACTGGAAAACCCAGACAGCTCTGCAGCCCATGTCTGGGCAGTGGTCCTTGCTGGCAGAATTGCTCAAAGCTTTTCTTAGGCATAAATCCTGCTTTAAATAATCTCCACTGTAAACTACAAGTTTTATTGAAGCCTGGTTTTCCCTCCATCTGGTGCTTTATGAGCTATGAGGAGACTTAGCCGTGAGATTTAATGGAAATTACTCAGAGAGAAGCTAATGCTTCAGACAAGCAGAGGTAACAGTGTGTCAGCCAAGTCAGTGGATAAACCTTTTAACTAAGTGCCTTTTCTCTGGTGTAGTCATTCAATGATGCTAAGATTGTGTTCATCTAGATTAACATATATCTCTAATTTTATTGTCAGGGGTAACTTCCCACTCTCTTCTCTGGTGCCATCAGAAAGTTATGAAGACTATGTCAGCAGAAGTTCTGCGGTTATAAAACAGATCATCAGTGACTGCCCCAGCAAAGGTAGAGGTTTCAGGTCTTTGAATATTCTGTCAGACACTTGCAGTAACAGGAGCTGGCAGAGATTTGCCAACAGAAACACATTTAATGTGAGCTGTTGGCATTGCAAAGAGCTCAAGGTAGACTCAGTGCTTGTCCTGGGCTACACTGAAGTAACATACATGCAATTTATGGGATAGAAATGAACAAAGTAAAATGAAACTGAGATGGTAGAGTACTAAATTGCAGAAGTATATGCTTTTCTTGGCCTTTCTACATCAGGATGTAGCTCAGCAAAAGATAATACACTTTTCTGGAAAGCTCTTTTCTCCTTGTAAATGCCTTCTATCAGTAGCTGGCATGCTTAACACACCAGGTACTTTCTGCCCATCACAACATGCTCTGCCAGATTATCAAAAAGGTCTGCAAAGGTGAACATCCCCAAAGCCACCTCATCCCCATCTGCTGATGGGGAACATGGCAGTGCTGCAGCTCCTTTACCACAGTTCTTTGCTTTTCCTCCTGTGCCAGGCATCATCCTCATGGTGGGCCACGGCTCCTCCTTGGCATCTCTCACCCGAGCGCTCACAGGGCTCCCCAGCAGAGACAGCCGAGACTTTGCCCAGATGGTGAGGAAGGTAAGAGGATTTGGTTTCATCAGGAAGCCTTTGGGTTGTCTCATTATGTTTTTAATAAGGAGACTGCTTATGCAGCAAGAGGTGTGTAACAGCATGCCAACACCAGTGACATCAGCTCTCTCGTTCCAAAGGCAATCTCACACACTTTTAGCAAAGCACTGGAGGTAAAAAGAAGGATTTTATTCTGGGAGCTTTGAATGTGACTGGCAGCTGAGTCTTTGGAGAAGATTTTCATGTGGAAAGTCAATGCCACATAACACCTACAGACAAGAGGCACATTTTGAAACCTTTCCACTTGGAACTGGTCTCCTTCCTTTTAAAGTGGAAAAAGAAGGCTTTGGGGTGACCTAATTGCAGCCTAATTTAAAAGGGAGCCTATAAGAAAGATGGAGAGAAACTTTACAAGAGCCTGGAGTTACAGGACAGTGGGAAATGGCTTCAAACTGACAGGGAGTAGGTTTAGAGTGGATACTAGGAAGAAATTCTTTACTGTGGGGGAGGGTGAGGCACAGGAACAGGTTGACCAGGTATGAATGTGGAGTGATAACACAAGTTCAGCTTTCACCTCTCGGGCTTCCAGCCTGGTTTTTGTTCACTTCAGCAGTGACAGAATATCAGGGGTTGCTCTTTTCTGTAGCAAAGCCTCCGTTCATGTCAAAGCAATGACCCTGCTGGTAACTTCCTTCCCAGATCCCTTCCCTGGGCATGTGTTTCTGCGAAGAACAGAAAGAGGAGAACAAATGGAAGATGGCCAACCCACCAGTGAAGACATTAACTCATGGAGCAAACGCAGCATTTAACTGGAGAAATACTGTCATGGAAGATTAAAAGGTCATCTCTGCCTTTGCAGTTGTCAAAAAGGAGCCAAAGGCAGGTTATGGTTCATCACAGGGCAGTGATTCATCCAGAAGACACACAGAGGGTGGGAAATGCCCTCTCTGAGTTGTCAAAACACAGAAAAACACTTCCCAAGTTTGGTGCCTGGATTTTGTTTTTATTTTGGTGACTGCGAAGAATGAACTCGTGAAACAGAATTGAAGTGAGAAGTAACACTTCTGGTGGTGGTGAGGAAAGTACCTTTTAACTTTCCCTGAGTGTAGAAATCTTCAATAAATAGGGATGTAACTACCTGATATTCCACTCCAAGAGGCACTGAAGTTAAATAATGTCATATTTTTTGAGACCAAACTGCATCCAGCAAGAATTCCCTTTCCGTTTTTTCTCTTCTTCAGTCACTTGGATATTTTCAGACAACAGAAAAACTGGGACTGAAAAAAAGTCAATTCCTACCCAAAGAGGGGACCAGCTCTTGCTAAAGCCACTGTGTTTCCTGTTCACTCCATCAGTTCTGTGGGAGTAAATATCATACTGACTCTGTGTTTACCTCTTCTATGAAGGGAGTCCATTTTCTTTCACACAAGCTCCTCATCCAGCAATTCTCAAGCGATGCATATTGCCAAAGGGTCTAAAGTATTCCTTTTTGAAGGGAAATCAACTGATTGTTGTTTCTGGGACAAAGAAAGATGTCCTGTGTTATTGTACTGGTGACAAAACTGACATGAGCAGCTTTAACTCTGAACCCTTCCAGAGGTGGCACTTGCCCCACAACAGCTTTGCTTTGTGCTGGTTTGTGCCAAATTTATTAATGGTGACCTGAAAAGTTTCTGCAGCTCTTCTCTAGGCACTGTGTTTAATTAAGGGAACTTAATTAAGCAGCCCTGAAATTTTATGCACAAACAGGAACATGCCTTTCCACTGTGTTTTTTTTTCTCCTGCTTTTCCTTTCTGGTTATCAGATAACTTCTTCCAAGAAAGTACAATGTTTCTTTCAATGAAAGGAAAAATGAAAATGTTTCTCTCAGAGCATGACTAAAAATGTTTTCATTTTCACTCCTCACTACCTGCTCCTATGTGACATCTGCCTGCATGCCATTAGCCATCAGGGCATGCAGAAGAGCCCATCCAACATTCTGGCTTTGGGGCTGAGAAGTATCTGACAGGCACCTTTAGCTGTGAATGTAGAGATTTTGTTATCTCAGCTGTGCAGCTGCAGGGATTCATTCTGACTTTCCAGCTCTGGTGGAGTTGCTTGAGCTCTCAGTTTTCTGACAGTGCTGCAATTTTACTGTGAAAGTCAAATGTCCCAGGGCCAAGACAGGAGCTCTTTAATGACCAAGGGCACCGGACTCGAGCTCAGGAGACAGGTGGCTACAGCTGCAGTCTCAGAAAAAGAGAAAAACACCAAATGTCACCACAACCTTTTCGTAATCAGGGGAAGCAGGATGCCACTGCAGTGCTGAGAGGATTGTGGCTTGGTTGCTTTTCCACATCTCAGCCTGACACACATTGCTGTCAGCCAAAGGAGGCAGGTGTGGTGAGGGATGATTTTGCTCTGAGCTCTGAAGATGGTGGCCAGGCTCCTCTGTGGTCAGCAGGGAGGGCAGTGACTCACAAGTCTGGCTGAGAAAGGGCTCTATGGTACAAGAAAATCAGCAAAGCCACTTACAAGATTGGTAATTTCTAATTAATTAGTAATATTAAATTTCATTACAGATTTTCTTCTACCTTTCTGGAGATAACATGGGATTTTTTTCCATAATGCTCTTATGCATTAATCCTAGATTGGGTCTGCAAACCCCAGTTTGGTTTAAGAATCTGTGTCTTCCTTTAAAATACCAAAATAAAATACCAAGTGAGATCTCTCCCTTCACCCAATGGCATCAGATGTATTGTCAGGGTGAGTCTCTTGTGAAAAATAACCTGTAAGAACAGCTCCATCTCATTTCTCTAACAGCATCATCTCCTTTCTTTAAGGAAAAGAGCTTTCCTGTGCTGCTGTGCCACTGTGTATAACATAACAATGAAATAGTTCTTTTTGCTTTTCAGTCCTTCTGGTCTGCAGAATAATGTTTCTGAAATGACAGTCTAATCCTGTTATTGTCCATCCAGCTCCTATCCTGAACGAGTGTGTGCAGCTCCCTAGTGGCAGGTGACAGGAGGGGAGAAGAACATGATGGCTAGGGAAAGTGTCTGTCTCTTATAGAGGATGGATTTTACTGCTCCACCCAATCTTGGCATCTATTCAGATGCCCACAGTCCATGGACAACACTATTGACAAGTTAAATATACTCAACAGGCAGATTCCTAAAACGCTCGAACCAAAATCCCACTGTGCTCTTCTTTTATTCTCAATAAAAAGGAATTATTCTCACTCCAAGGAATTTTACTTCAGTGAAAGCAATGAATTAAACTTCAGGGCATGTTGAAAAAAGAGTTTGGGAACTTTTCTTTTGTGGTGGTTTCTAATCCAGACATCACAGTGCTAAGGAAGTGAGGACAAATGCTTAGTCACAAAATACTGTATTAAAGTTATAAAGACTTCTCCATGTCTGCTGTTTGATCCAATTGAACAGAAAGAACATGAATAGAAGGAACAGGCAGCACACTCAAGAATCCATTGAAACTCTCACAGTCTTAAAAATAGAAGGGCAAGGACAAGTTCTTCTATTCACAAGAACCCTGATTTTGGCTTTCTGGGGACCCCATGAGTACAGCTTCAGCTCTGAACACGTTTTAAGATCAGAGCTGAAATTATGTCTTTAACATACAAGGTTTCTTGGTTGTACAATCTGGTGCTTGGGGGAGAGAGAGAATTCCTACTGTGGTGTGTACACAGCATGAGACTAATCACTAAACACATGTGAAATGAAGAAAATGTCCTTGGAGTCTTCCAAGTTATTTTTGTGGTAAACAAAAGAAATAGGAAATTATTTTCCAGTTTTTTGTTTTGGTTTCTTTGGCTTTTTTCAGTTTTTGGTTTTTTTTGTTGTTTTTGTTTTTGGTTTTTTGTTGTTGTTTTTTGGTTGTTGGTTGGCTTTTTTATGCAACTTCTAAAATTATTTGTTGCTTTACTCCATTGCAGTTTTCTTTCACTGGACCCATTTCATTACAAAGTTATGGACTTCGATAGATGCTTTTAACGCTGCCCTGAAAATCTGAATGTTTTCCTTGTATCTTAAAATGTGAGAGCATAAATTCTTTTCATGAAGACCTGCAGTGAAACTAATCTATGGTGACGTGATCCCCTGTGAGAATCTGAGAAATTCTGAATTCTGAAATCTGAGAAAACCTCAGATTTCTATGGCTAAATGAGGTCTGGTGTGATTGAGGGATGAGGAGGAAGAGCAGCAATTTTTATAACAATAATACTTCTTCCATACCCTTTGAAAGGAAATTAACATCAAATATTATATTGTTTGGGACTACTTTTAGGCAGAAGAGCTTGGACAGACAGTTGAGACAAATTCTTCTGAAAAGTGAGATAAAACATGCTATTAATGTTCTGATCCTGATTTTTCCAAAGTTTTTCTCCTTATGCCAGCATTAACATTGGTGCAAAGAATATGCACAGTTCTGCTGACTCGGAGATGTAGATATTTCTAATTTTGCACCGTTTTAAGTCACATGTGAGGAATAAAACAGTTGAGTGGATTTTTTTTCTTCTCCAACAAAAACACCGGGGATCTCCAAAAGGAACAAGTCCTGTTCTCAGGAGCAACCTGTAACACATTCAAGATTTCTGGATGTTCTCAGCTTTCCTTGATTCTATTCCAGGCAGGAGGCTTCTTATTTTTTTCAGGAATACCACTGGAGGTCACTCACGTACTAACAAACAGTGCTGCAAGGGGAAAAAGTCATGTAAACTATCCAAGAATGAACTCAGCTTGACTTGAAGATGACATTAAAATGGAAGCAAGTTTGGAATTATGTTGTGCAGATAATCCTCGAGTTATTACAGTAGATTATGATAAAAGTAGCAAGTAAACTAATTATCTAAATTTTCTTATAAAAAGACTAAACACACACACACACATTAGCAGACCAAGTTAGCTTTGATCTAGCTACAGTAATTATGAAAATGAGCACAACTCTTCATCAAAAAAAGCAAAAATAGGAAAAGAGAATTCATCCAAAAATGCTCACTGGGGTAACATCAGTGTGACAAGAAAATGCAAACAAAATGTAAGCTAGGAGAGGAAAGATTGCATGGAAATTTTCTCATTACGATATTTCCGGTAGCAAAAAAAATTGCAAGGAAGAAGTAATAAACTTTATTTATTTCATATGACTGGTTTCCCTATCTCCATTTTCTCTTAATCCATTTTTATCACTAACTTTCAAACTTTCAGGTACATTCTTGCTGGGAATCTGAGTTGGAGAGAAATGGAAATGGTTAAAATGTTTTTCCTCTTTCTGATAAACTAAAAATTTCATATTGATATCTTGCTCTAAGGTGAAGAACTAGGAAATGTAAGTCCCAATCTGGTTGTTTTACTTCAAAAGCAAACTGCTACTGGCTGGCAACCCTCTACCTTAGGCGCCAGGAGCATTAATACTCATTCCAAAATTCCCACAGTATGAGAGAGCAAATTAAAACCTGACAGATATGCGTAATAATTAAGGTATTGATTACAAATTATCAGTGAAAAAAGTTTCAGAGCATCTTTATTCACCTGCAGAAAGACAGAAGATGATCTGTCAGTGGTACTTAGTGTTTGTACAACACTTGTACAGCTCTTCGTTGCTCTGTACTTTCAATTTACTTTTTTAATTATACTTTTAATTTACTATTTACTATTTATGTCTTTCCATTTGATTCTGAAAGCTTCTAGGAGGGTTCTGCAGCTGCTGTGTCCTGCCAGCCAACTCCTGATTGCCAGGTTTTTGATTTTAAACTAGCTGATAGGGACTGCTGGACTAGGCTTTGCTCAGTAAGAACGCTTCTTCCACTGGGAGAAGGGAGAAGAGCAAGCAGAGTGTTTGGTAATTCATGTGGGTGCTGGGGAACGGCAGAAACTCTCCTCCAAACAGTGGCAACTGTGCAACACCAAGGCTGAGGAACCATTGGGCCTGATCTCCAGCACCCTGGAGAAATTTCCCTTGGTACAGCACTGGTGACAGCCTAGACAGAGTTTGGGTGGTCCAGGCACTGTGTCCAAGGCATTGGTGTGCAGATTACTCCCTTTTAAGGAGGGAAAATGGGATATCAGCTGGATGGAACTCCACAGAGGTGAGAGCCTGAACCTGAGGTGGAGGGATGTTAGGGGTATGCTGGGTGGAGCAGAGGAGGAGAGCACTCTTGGAGGAAGTTGCTGAAGTTCATGATTTCTGACAGCAGCAGCAATGTTCCTTGTCCCTGCTCAGACCTAAGGGCAGTGTGTCAGTGTGCAGGGCTGTGTGTGAGCGTGCAGGACACTGCTGGGACCTTTGGATGTACTGGAGGTGCAGGAGTGTCCAGAGCTGCTGTTGGTGATGGAACCAGAGAGCCCCTGGGGAAGGATGGAAGGACAAACAAATGAAGCAGAATCACAAGCTTCCCAAGTAGAATTTTAATTAACCCCCTAGCAGTCAGGAATTCAGCCTGTGCATCTGAGAGCTTTACAACACAGACTGGAGAATTTAATCACACTACAGATATTTACATGGCAATTCCTCCAGTCAGGAGTTCAGGTTTTTGGGTTGTTTCAAAAAGTCAATGACCTTGTAAAGAAAGCAGGAAATGTAAAGGTACTGCTGCCCTGGAAGATTCAACTGTTCCATGTAGTCATATCCTGTAAATGGATGTTGTGTTCATATCAGCAGTTAAGACTATCCCTGAACAGAGATAGTAGAGGTTCTAATATCATCCAAAATCATCTATCCCAGGAATGGGTGGGAGGATGGCAGGAAGGGAAAGGAGAAAGGGAGGACATTGTGCTGTGTTCTGTAGTGCTGCCTCTCAAGATAACAGCAATGAGGGCAGCCACATCCCACTCCATAGCTAAGCTGGGTCCATGTCTGGTTGTGAAGGAGAAAGCCCACCTTTGGTAAACTGGTTTACCAGTTGGGATTTTTATCTGTAGTAAATCTGACATCCTGAGCCTTTAAAATAATGTATGTTCCAGAAATAATGAAGACAAAGTATATAGCGTCTCCCATAGGCTAATTCAGCACGGAATATTGCATCAAAATTACTTTATCCGAAAGTGACATTTCTTTACTTGAAATGACTATACTGCTGCACATCTGTTCGAGAACATTGTGCATCATCATTGTGTGATGATGCTCTTGGCCACCCAACCAGGACAATGACTCAAAAAATGATTCTTTAAGGAACCAGGGTTCACCTCCAGATGAGCTGCCCTTGTCCCTGTGGGGGAATTCAGCTTGCCGGGTGTGCACTGGGAACACCACACAGCTGGTCCAAACAGCCCCAGGACATTCCCCAAACACCTGCACAACAACTTCTCGGTACAGGGACTCAGGGAGCAGCTCGGAGAGGAGCCCTCTGGGATTTGTTGCAGAGAGGCTCTCGTGGCTGACGTGGGATTGTCTTGGCCACAGCGACCGCGCAGCCGCCGAGTTTCAGGTCTCTGCTGCTTTGCCTGCGCCCGTCTGGCTCCCGAGATGGGGCAGGCACAGGCGAGCATGGCAGGAAAAGCAGCAACTTTTATCAATGTGTCCATGGCAAAGCTGCTGTCCCAAAACGGATTCTTTCACCCCATGTGCAAGAAGACGATCCAAACACAGAGTTCAGATATTTCTTTTATTTACAGTTCTGCACAGGAGCAGGTGCTGGGGGGCAAATCCACAAAGCCAGCACAGCGACTATCAAAGCATTTCACTATTTATACATTTTACCAAATAAAGGCATTAATGTGTACTGGCTACCAGTTACATGGTTCTCTCACTAATTTCACATATTATTTCCTTTTAAAATTATTGTCATATTTTTACAGTATCATATCTAAATACTTAGATATTACATTCATATATATACCATATATAATGTTCTATATCATATATATTCTATATCTTATGATAGTCAAAAGCTATTTCTTATTAATAAATAATATATATACATATTATAAATATTTCATTATATATAATTAAATTATATATTGATATTATAAATATTAAATTACATAATTAAATATCTTGTAAATATTAAATTAAATTAATTAAAAATTAAATTAATATTATTATAAATATTAAATTATATTATAAATACTAAATTACATTAAATTTAATTTTAAAATTAAAAATATTAAATTACATTACATAAATATAAATATTAAATCTATATTGATAAAAATATTAAATTACAATATATATTGATATTGTAAATATCAAATCACATTAATTTGTATGTTATATTAGTATTATGTTTTTGCTATTTACTAAATATTAGTGTAATAATTTTGGTTATTATTAGATAATATTATTAACAGTAATTTATAATTAGCTAATATTAATTTCTTAAGATTTTATTCTATGGGATAAAAGATTATTTTGCTTCTTGTGCTAACTACTCTTTCTCTATGCTCAGTCTTCCTTTTCTTTTGAAGAATGTCCTTTTTTCTCGCTGGGTTATGGGGTCTCTGGGCCAGGAGTTGGTGGTCGCCGTCTCCCCGTGCCAGAAGTCCCTTTTCCCCAGCTGGAGCCGATTTCAGCACAGTTCCTGAGTTGGCTTTATGAGTTTTG